TATATAATTTTCTTTTGTTCATCTTAGATATTCAAAGATGTGTGTGAGACTTACAGATTCAGGTTGAGGGTGTACCGTAGGAGAGCCCTCACGACTAGAACATTCTGACTTCGTTTCAAATCACTTATTGCAACTGTGCTTCACAACATTTGAATCACTTAATCCACATAGCCTTGTTTGTTATCTTAAGCTCAATGCGTGACTTACAACAAACTGTTTTGTTTGACAAATATGAATAGGTATTTTATCTAAAGGATGACCCCCCAAGGACTAGAGTCAGTCAAGGGTTGAACTCATTCTATTTTGGATTTTGTTTAATAAACCTTGGATTTATTAGAAACAAATCAAGTATGCTGTTTTCAATTCTTGGCAGTATTTTCAAAAACTGTTTCATAAAATGTTTAGAAGCCAAGCCCAGACAAAATGGAAAAATGAAATGCCGCCCGACTTGTTTATCTAATGTTCATTCTATTTCTGTATCTCATATGCACTGGCATTTGATTGTACACCATTTGCCAGAATCTTCTCCGGATATTACTTAAATATTTGTTTTTTCTCTCCTTTTTACTTACTTGCCGAACTACTTTTGGTTAGCGTAAGCACATCTCACAGTCAAGTCAAGCGCGCAGCGAAGCTGTCAACCGCCAGGATACGCCATGGATGAGCACACACAAACACTCAAACACACTCACACTCGTTGGGTTATATGAAGAGTAATCTTAATGCACCTGCAAATGCACACATACACTACACACACACCGCACAGGTCCTGTAGCTAATGTAGTTTACTTACGCTGAAATATTTGCATTGCTCTGCCTTGCGGCTAGTCAATTTTTATCAGTGCTGTTAAATTTGCATAAGACATGACAGTTGACTTCTCTCGCCTTCTACTTGAGCTGTTAGTGGCAGGCAGCACAACTGGCCAAGTTTATTTACCCAAAAAAAAAAAAAAAAAGAAGAGAATAAAAATGCAGCAACAGCAGCTGTAGCTGTAGCTGTAGCTGTAGTTATCGTGCTATTTGCCAAGTATTTGCACACTAGTTGGCCTTGTTGGCAGTCGGCGCGTGCTTTAAACTGCATTTTGGAGAGAAGAGCCGGTCCCCCAAAAAGGATGCGGACAGTTAATGGTGCCTCTCGGCTGGGGCGACGAATAATTAAGATAATTACGCAGAAGGAGGCGCTGCCTAGTTGCTGCTTGCTGTCAGGATCAGCCGCAAATTGCCGTCATCATTCTTGACTACCTTTTGTTGTGGCCAGGACTTATGACAAAGGCCAAAATGTCATGTACAAAAGATAAAAAGGACACGGCGGCTAATGAAACGGCAGCAAAGCGTAATAACGAAAAACACAACAAAACGCACAAAAAAAACCCAACACGAGTTTGAATGCTCTAGTCGAGAGAGCTCGAACAGGAGATGCCCTGAACCCAATTGTTAAACTATATAGAAAAATTGGCTTTTAATTGATGATTTGTAAAAGAAAATATATTTTTTGTATGCGAATTTAAATCTTTACAGTTGATATCTTAAGGTAAATTATATAAATTTATAATTTTATTTATTTTGTGTTTATGATTGCTTATTTTATTGCTGTGTGATACATCGATTAATATCGATAATCGAGGAACGGGGTCAGTTATCGATCAAAATGATACACTTATGGTATACGAGAATATATATTCAAAATCTGACAGTTGCACATGGCTAAATCGACTTGGCCATTGCTGCCAATTAGGAATTTATATACACTTATTTTACTTGTGCCTGTTACATCATTTTGCAGAACATAATTACACCCTTTTACTGCAGTATTTTGCGTGCAGGGTATATAGAATACAAATATCAAATGAAACATTGTGCACAAGAAACAGCAAAAGGATTGTTAGGCACATTTCCATTTGAAAACATCCAGTCACCCACCGCTCACCCACCGCTCACCCACCTCTCTCTACTCCCAATCATGCTCCGCATTACAAACTCTATTGTTCTTTATGTTGTTGTTGTTGTTGTTATTCAGCTGGCGTTGCCTTTGTTAAATTGAAACAATTTGTCACTCTCTTGGAAAAGTTGCCAACGGGCTTTGTTTTTGTTAAAGAACGGCTGTGCGGGGCTGTCCATCCATTTGATAATGAAATAAATGAAGAGTAAAGTAAGTATGGGCGTAAATATGTACAAATATTTTCTAATTTTCTGTGCAACGCATTGTAAAATGTAAAATTAGAGCAAATGTTTGCCATTGTTGCGATATTCGCGCTTATAAATGCAATTACCGTGCCGACTCTTAAATAACAAAAAGCAAATTGCCAAATTAACATTGCTCGCATTGTTCGACTCCTAATCTAAATTACAAATTCAAATTACGTCATACAAATTTTTACAAATCGTATCTGAACTCGCTCAAATCAATCAATGGCTTCTAATCGATTTTTTTCTTTAATTTGTGGCACTTTAGCTTGAATAAAGAAAAACTTTTCCATCGATGAATTGGTTTTTATAACCAAAATATACATTTCTATTTTGATAGATTTTTAATTTAAGCACTAATTTCAGGCTATTCCTTGCAGATAAAGAATATATATACTTAGAGCAACAACAAATCTATCAAAAACAGAATAAATATATTCAGGGAATATCGTGAAACCAACATAAAATAATTTAAAATCATTACAATACTTACTTTAATGAGAATGCATATCATATATGGAATACATACAGAATATATATACATATATATATATACCCATTTAAATTCCACTTAATCTGCTCACCACGTGTGAAATGTAAAAATAAAAGAATAATAAAAAATAAAAACAGAGGGAAAAATCAACGCCGGTTAAATTTTATTTAAATGTCAATTTCATTTGCATAACTTGCGCGATGAGCATTACATAACATTAATGCCAGATGGCCACTTAGCGCAAATAAAATCAATTTAAATTGTTGGCCTGCCCGTTAAGGCAATGAAAATGCCAAAACCAATTCAATTTCTACCCTGGCCACAACTTGAGCCACATGCCCCACATTGATTCAAGCAACAGCACAAAAAAATCGACAGACTGGCTGAGGGGGTGAGAGGGTGGGAGGGAAAGGGACAGATGAATTCAGTTAGCCAGGTTGTTGTTGACGTAGCTAACCCCGCTGGCCAAATGCCTTATGATAAGCCCAGGGATCCGAGGTGCAAGTGGCCATTTGATCTGGTGGCCCCTTTCGATTTGCAGCCAGCTGCCAAATCGGCCCAAATGTCTAACATAACAGGAAATAAATTCTCAACAGCCTTTTGTGCCCGGCCACCTGTCACAGCCACGCCCACTCAGTACTAGTTTATTTTGCTCAACTTCTGCTTGACCAGAATCAGGCAAAATGTTTGCTTAAATGCGGTCACCTGGCTTCGTCCTGTTGCAGTTGAAGGTATCCTTGCAAAGGGTCCCTTAACTATTTAAATCGAAATCAAATTGAAATCTTAAGAAATTCACAGTAAAAGAATACTTCGATTTAGTATAATATAATATTAATATAATACAACCATTTAATACTGGAAAAAGAATTTAATTCAAATCCAAATTAAACTTTTAAGAAACGAAAAGTAACAGAAATTAAATTTATGGATTTAGTAGATATTAGAAATATTTTTAGAAAAAATAATTAAAATTGAAATATGAAAAGAATATTCTAAAACAAATATTTAATAGTAGGAAGAAATTAGTACAAAAACTTTAAATTAATAGTGAACAATTTAAGAAATGATTTCACATTATTGAAAGCTGTTTGACAAAATCACACAAAAATTCAATTCTAAAAGGGTATATAAAATTCGTATATGCCTTCAATTGATTGCTCATTCTTTTTATGTAGTTGATTTTGTTGTGCTTTAAGTGCGTTGCAAGAGTTGCAGCTGAATTTTGTTGTTGTTATTGTTGTTGGGCATTGTGGTGTTCATGTCTGAGGCAGCTCGGCTTCAAATGCAACATTTCACCGGCGAGTAGGCGGAAGTGCTTTTATGTGCCAGGCTGCATCCTGTCTATAGAAATCCCTAGTTGTTTCTGCTGCCCCAAGTGGCTGCTGCTCTTGCCGGGGCTGACCGGGGTATTTAACAACAATGGGTGCGCCTCTGCATATGCAACACATTTTGCTGGCTCAGTGAGCGTTGCATGCCTCCAGGCAGCGCCCTTCAACTTGACATATTCACTGTAATAAATAGCCCAGGTAGCTTTAGATAAGAAGTAACCACAAAGAATTCCACTTCGCTTTTAAGATGAACTCCTTCGTTCAGACAGAGCGGAGTCCCAATATTCTTTAACTATTGCTTCTTCTTCTTCTTTTCTTAATGCAACAAGAACAACAGTATGTTGCAACTTGAATGCCACTATGTGGTTACACTCAGAAAAACAAAATCGCACTGGAACTCAGTGTTTTTTTTTTTTAGAAAGAATTTAAATATACAAAAATTGTCTTAAAATTAAATGTTTTTTTTTTACATTTTCCAGAAATATACTTCGTATTTCTAAATAGAAAATATTTCTAAAGAAAAAGATATGCAAATTGATTTTTTAAATTCAGAAAATAATAATGAAATTTAATTTATTGAATCGCCTTAAAATCGTAGGATTTTTTCAATTTAAGTTTAATGCATTTATAACTAACTAAACTGTTTGTATATGTGAAATATTAAAATACAAATGCTTAATAATAATATAAATAACAAAAGAGTTAATGTTAAAGTTCTAAGCACATAATAAAACAGGAAAATTAAAGCTTCTTTTTTTTAATTTGAAATATATTCTCAAAATAACAAGCTGAGTTTTCTTTGGAGCCAAAAGTATGACAGTCTTCTAAAATTAAGGCTGATTTTTATTTTATACAATATTAACTTATTTATCGAATGAGCCAAACATTCGATAAAAGTGTGCTTTGAGTTTATGGTATCAAAGATTGATTGACAAGTTGTCGAGCAAAAGAAAATAATAATAATAATTTGTGTGCTTTATCGATGTTGAAAGAACAGCTTCAATAATGCCGCATCAATTGTCTACGAAGGTGTCCTACAACCATATCAGCGAGGCGAAAGTTCGAAGGATAATAACTCAATTCTTAATTCTTGTTTTGCTCTTCATCTGCACCCACATTGGTAAGTGATCCTGAGTTGATTGTCAGCAAGGCTCGTTACTCAATTCAATGTTGTTCCCAAGTCTCCGAATCGATGCATTCGCAATACGTTTATTTTAGTAATATGCAAGCGGAGCAGACGTTCGTTAAGGATGTGCCATATAAGAGAGAAATCCACTATGATGCATTCCTCTTTGACGATATACGAAACACCGAAATGATGTTTGTTTATTTCACATACAATTTCCTACAAATTATACACGAGGATGATCTAAATGATGCCACAAGCCCATATGTATTGAATTTGGGCCTAATGGTTGGCGCACCGAGACTTCGGCAAATACGCATCAATCCGAGGGATGAGTGCCATCATGAGATATCCTCGGAAGATGTAAAGAAATGGCCATGTTATGGCGAATACACCTCCTACAACGAATATAAAGGCTACCATCAGGGGTATGCATTCGTATTGATTTGAATCGAATTTGAATCCTTAAATTCGCCTTATTTGTATCAGCAACGATTACAAGGACGATGCCAATTCTATTTGGACTGATTTTTATATTTACGGCGGCGGCGGTTTTTCAAAAACATTCTTTTTTAACTATGATAGAAATTTGGATTTGCTTCAGCTACTTCATGACACTTACTGGGTTGATCGTGCCACTCGGCTTGTTGTACTTGAATTCAGCACATTCTACGATGCCAACCAGATGTTTCAGATTGTCAAGTCTGTATCGATTCACTATCCCTCTCTCTCGATAATACTATAATTCTTGCTCAACTCGAGTCTAGATTGATATTCGAAATAATGCCAACGGGCCTCGTTGTGCCCACAGCGGACATTCGATGCATACCCTTGAAATGCTTTCTATCCATGGACGTTTTTCGCATCCTTATCGGCATTGTCTTCTATTTGATTGTCATTTACTACACGTACACTGAGATCTACGAAATCTGTGCGATCGGCCCAAAAGCGTACATCAGAGATGCCTATAATTATACCGATCGTGTTTTTTTGCTCGTGCGTATGTCAAATATCGATAATTCAATAATTTGGCATTAGGCATTCGTTTAGTCATCGTACGTGGTTTTGAGCTATAATATTTGGCACACCCTCGAGGTGAATGCAATCTATGATGCTTACAACGCCGATCGGGAGGTATATATCAACTTGGATCGCCTGATGCTTGGCTGGCGATTCTACTCCATTTCCATGGGCATTCTCACATTTTCGGTGTGGCTCAAGTTCATCCGGTTCATGTCCTTTCACAGATCGCTGCGGCGACTCTCGAGCACGATTCAACTGGTAAGTTGTGGTCGCTTTCATATAAATATATGCTTTATTCTTTTCTTAAACTTTGAAATTCAACCTCAAATGAAGATCTAAGATTAAGATAAAAAAACATTATTCTTTTCTTTTCGTGTTTAATTAATTAAATTTAAAAACAAAATTGCTTCTTCTTTTCGTTTCTGAATTTTCTTTATTTTTAAGCACTATGAAAAAATCTAAAAAAAAAAGCAAAACTTATATAAAACTATTAGAAATATCCCTCTAATAATAGTATTGAAAAAATAAGTCTAGTCGATGATAACTGACTGTGGTATACTCTGATGCCATAGATTGGTTGATTTTTTTTGTAGATATATAAGGCAGTTAAGGTGTCAGCAAGTTAACTGAGGTCTGGACAAACCTCCGGTTATATTTAGCTATATTTCGACTCAATCAGGATTTCTCCGAATGTTATGAACAAGGGGATCCCACAGACTGACTTCAAATTTGGAATATAGGTTCTCGTATAACTGCTCGAACAAAGGCACATACTCAAACATAAACCTAATGGGATCTCCCAATTATAATTTAGTTCCGAAACGGTTTTTTTCGGAATCAATTTCAATCGGTTCCGGTTTAATCGGCTTCCAGTTTACAACTGATTTTAATGATTCACGTTTCTTTTCTTTCTCAATTGCTGTCATGTGAAGTCGTTAAGAAACGTTCTCGGCTTCTGTTTTATATTCATTTGCATTGTTTATGCCTTTGCCCTGTGGGGCACAATACTATTTGGGGATCAGCTGGATCTCTTTAAATCGGAGTTCTCAACGGTGATGACGATATTGCGCATTTTAATGGCTGATGTTGACTATGGACCGATGTACCAGATTCAACCTGTACTGGGACCCATTTACTTTGTCAGCCTTGTTGTTGTCATCTTTGGCATCTCACTGGTAAGTGCAAATAATAATAACAATTTAATTGTCAGTTAACATTGTAAATATTGAATGACATTTATTTGATGATGAAATTTATTTGACAGAATTTATTTGTGGCAATTTATCTGAGCACCTATTTAGATGTGAAGGCCAATACGGTTGTTCACGATACTTTAATATTGAAAATGCTTAAGCAGGGCATTAAGGATTACTTTAGAATTTGGCGCAGTCGCCCCCTCCGATCTGATGAGATTAAGACATCTGCGACGAGACGGATAGAGAGGGATACTCCAGTGGCCGAGGAGGTTGCAAAGGAGTCGACACTCGGGCGACAACCAATAATAACACTTCGCGAGGACCTGGCTGCGTATGTGGTTGTCCCTGCAACTTTTCGGAATTTTTTATTTTTTAATTGTTTTCATCAATAGCTTTACCGAACGTTCCATTCAAATGGAAAACATGTTAGAGAGCTTGGTTGTTACCATCGAGAATATTGCGAAATTACAAAACCAAAGGGAGAAAAAGGCTAAATGAGATTAAACAAAATTTAATAAAATAATAAATAAATGAAAATAAATAATTGTCATAATAAATAACGATTATTATTGTTGTAACTGTCATCGACATGAGAGTTACAAATTTGATTGCATTTAGCTTGATTTAAATTTGTGAAAGTTCGACTTTAATTGTAATCACGTTCTTAACGCCTCCCCCGCCCCGCCCCGCCCCCTTAGTCGAGTGAAATGTATTCCTAGCTGCTGGCATATTAAACCAGGAGCGTGTCTCTACCCAAGAGATAAAGAGCACGCAAAAGTAAGTGAAGAGGAAAAGACAGAGGTTAATGGATTTTTCTTGTGATATTTGACTTGAGACACACGGCGATGACCCAAGCTCACAGCACATTTTTTGGCTGTTCCTTACTCTGCCCCTGTACACGGAAAATAACAAAGAAAAATAAGTCATGTAATGTGAAAATATTCGAGCAAGAATATATATTCGATTGAGTGCGTTCATTCTTGTTCTGCGCTCTTAATTTCATTCTAAAAATAGTATTCAGGAAATAACATTTGACACTGGATTTCAAAAAAAGGTTACTTTATATTTAAAGTGCATGGGTTTTTTCTCTCCGTGTATAGGTGTTTTTGGCTTTTATTTTATTTCACTCTTTTATATGCAGGATTTTTCAAGTGAAAAACTTTACATTTATTATCAAGATGTATGCATATCTCTGTCTCCCTCTCTCTCTCTCTCTCTCTCTCTCTCTCTACCTCTCTATCGCTCTATCTCTGTCGGCCATTTCGTGGGACAACAAACAACACATTTCGTTTAATTGAATGTTGCGGCTGTCGCTTGTCGTTGACAACAGGACAACAACAACAACAACAACAGCAACAACAGCAACAATAACAACCACATTTGTCGTGGCCAAAACAACAAGACGGTTCGGGCCGGGCCATAACGGGACTTTTGTGTTTGCCGGGCACGCGCCTTAAGAGAACCAAAAATTATAATGTAGTGTAAATATTTAATGGTGATGCGACTTTAGATTATGTTGCTGTTAAACGTGCTGCTCCTGCTGTGACTGAGACTTAAACTGAGACTGCGACTGACTTGGCCAATTTAATGAACTGTAAATGTCGGCCGCAGCATAATAACTTATTTGTGTGTACAAATAGGCAAAACGAAATGACAACAAATATTTTGATGTAATTTATATATTTATATTTTATGTGTGTCATCAATTTAATAATATCCTCAACGCTATTCACTTTTATTGCAATTGCAATTTGAAATGTGCGCGCGCCGCATTAAATCGCCATCTGCTGGCGACTTTTGGCAACTTGCATAGTTGTGTAGCAAGCAGCTTGAGGTCGATTCGTTAGCCGACTAAACGTACTCGTCATTTGACATTTGGCTGCGCTATCGAACATATATCGAATAACGTGATTTACTCGATACGCTATGATAGAGAAAATGTACGTCATGTGATTGTGGATTCTTTTTTTCGCACGAAGCAGTCACCTGTCGGCCAAGAAAAATACAATTACGCCTGCAAAATTTGGTAAATAGCACTTGAAACAATTGCAAATTAAACCAATTATAGAGTGCCCTTTTCAACGAATAGAGAGACCAGCCAGACAAAGAAAACCAAACCGTGCAAGATGGCGCCCCAAATACGCACAGTCGTAACGCAAACATTTCTATGGCTCTTCCTCGCCGCTGCTACCATCCTAATCCTCTACTTTGTTATGACTGGCAAAGGAGAACGCGTGAGCGTTGGCTGGTTCCTCGCCTCCTCGAGCCCGTACATGTGGGCATGCCTGGGCATCGGATTGTCTGTGTCGCTATCGGTTGTGGGCGCTGCCCTTGGCATTCATACGACGGGCACCAGTATTGTGGGTGGCGGCGTTAAGGCGCCCCGCATCAAGACCAAGAATCTGATTTCGGTCATTTTCTGTGAGGCTGTCGCCATCTATGGCCTGATCACGGCCATTGTGCTCTCCGGCCAGCTGGAGCAGTTCCAAATGGAATCGGCGCTCGAATCCAGCGGCATCATGAACCAGAACTGGTTTTCGGGCTATCTGATTTTTGGTGCTGGTCTTGCCGTCGGCCTCGTGAACTTGTTCTGCGGCATTGCCGTCGGCATCGTTGGTTCCGGCGCAGCACTCTCAGATGCCGCGAACGCTGCGCTCTTCGTCAAAATTCTGATTGTGGAGATTTTCGGTTCGGCCATCGGTCTCTTTGGTCTGATCGTGGGCATTTACATGACTTCGAAGGCAAAGATGGGTGACAAGGAATAAGCGGACGCTGCAATGAGTGAGTGTTAATCTCTAATTAAGATATATACATATATATTTATATATATAAAAATTAAATAAAATTCTTTGCAGCATTTGTGTCACGCGCCACCCCATCCAAAAACAACAACAACAATCAGTCATCAAGTCATTCCGACAACTAAAGCACAACAACATCTGTGTTCCTCCATTGGAGTTTTTCTTTTTTTTGGAAATTAAGATTCGTTATGCGCAGTTACAGATAGTGAGATAGGAGGAGAAACCTTCACGACGACATGGGACTTTAGTTACTTATTAAGTTAAAAAGAAAAGTTAATTATCGAATTTTTACGCTGCGCACATTGCGCCAATTCTCAGCATCAATCCAACAATTGTGCGTTTAATGTGCGCCGTGTAAAAATTGCATTCGATTTCTTCTATTCTAGTTAAATCAGTTTAATTCGTATTTGTGTACGAGAGACAAGTGTGTGTGTTTATCATAATATAATGCTATAATTTATGATAGGTATGTAGTTGTTTATATTATTTGTTCATTTTTTGGCACTTGTATTCTAAAGAGAAAAATGTATTATATTAACTACAAATACAAATAATAACTATATAAAAAACTGTATATTTTATGCTACGGCTAATTCAGAAGTAATAGAAACTACACAAACCATATTATTATTATTACTATTATTATAGAGAATATTCCATATTAAATAAATGTGTTTTGTTAACAAATCCCCAAATCGTCACCAACTCTAATCAGTTGCACGCGCCCAACTTCTATAATATATATATATATAAATTCCCCCAATGTATGCTCCCACACATATAAATATATTTATGTTTTATCGGTTACTAAAGACATTATAAATAATCATAACAGCACTTTGAAAATTATAAAGCGATCAAACTTTAAATTAAACACATACATATATATCTGTAACTAAATGCCAATTGTTTAACACAAACGGACAGAGGGGCAGTAATTGCAATTTTAAAAATGTATGCATATTTTTTATTTTATTTAAAATCAACAATTGCAGAGTTGCCACAATTTGCAATGTGGCAAAACTAATTATCCAAAACAGTCACACTGAAAGCTCAACGAGTCTCTTTTATCATTTGCTCTCCGACGAAGCAGTTGCATTTTCTGCATTCCGCTGCAAAACAATAGTAACTTTAAAAAATACGACAACTTCCACAGATTTTAATAGATAATTTAAGCAGCAGCAAATATTGGGAAATATGACTGACTTCGCTGAGACACAAAATGAAGCAGATCCGTCGCAGCAGCCGCCGTTGCCGGCTGAGCAAGAAAATCAGCATCAAGTCGAAGATGCCGTTTGGGAGGAGGATGCGGCTGCTTTAAACGAGGCGACAGCAGCGGCCGGCAACGAGTTTCCCGAGATTAAGATCTTTGGTCGCTGGAGCTGCGATGATATAACTATCAGTGACATCTCACTCCAAGACTACATTGCCGTCAAGGAGAAGTTCGCACGCTTTTTGCCGCATTCGGCCGGACGCTATGCCGCGAAACGTTTCCGCAAGGCGCAATGCCCCATCGTGGAGCGTTTGACCTGCGGCCTAATGATGAAGGGACGCAGCAATGGCAAGAAACTGCTCGCCTGTCGCATCGTCAAGCACGCCTTCGAAATCATCCATTTGCTCACCTCCGAGAATCCGTTGCAGGTGACGGTGAATGCCATTGTGAATGCGGGACCACGTGAGGATTCCACACGCATCGGGCGAGCTGGCACAGTGCGTCGCCAGGCTGTTGATGTTTCCCCGTTGCGTCGCGTCAACCAGGCAAGTATTCAAATACAATACAAACTGCATTTTCGCACACTCAATTTACTCAATTGGTCGATAATACCTATCGAATCTTGTTTCCTGTGCAGGCGATTTGGCTAATTTGCACTGGGGCGCGCGAGGCTGCATTTCGCAATATAAAAACAATCGCCGAGTGTCTGGCGGATGAGATGATTAATGCAGCCAAGGGTTCATCCAATTCGTATGCCATCAAGAAGAAGGATGAACTGGAGCGTGTGGCCAAGTCCAATCGTTAGACACAATTCCAATAATATATAGAAACACAAAAGTTTAACAGAAACAATAATGTAGCGTAAGTTTTTTGCAAACTAGTTTTGCAAGCCAAATATGAATTTTTGACGTCACTCGCTGACGTTCAACGGAAACTGAACGAATATTACATGAAGTATTTCAAATCAAATTGTTCATATTTGATAATTATGAACCAAAATGATATCTAAAATATATTTGTACAGAAAAATTTGTTTGATTTTTGAAATTTGTGACGTCGCAGTCGCTGGCGTTAAATTCAACGAGCTTATAATTTTTAAAAAATTGTTGCTAGCTTTAATGTTATATCGAGCAACATTATTTTCGTTTTTTAGTCGAAGGGAACTCGTAGAATACCTAAAAAAAAAAAATGGGAGTATTTTTTATTTTTATTGGATTCCTTGGCGTATTTATTTTTGCCATCACCGCGTTGATTTTGGGCGATTTGATGAATGGGCAGGGAGAACGGGCCGGTCTCAGCTGGTTCCTGCACTCGAGCAGTCCGCAGATGTGGGCCGGTCTCGGCGTTGGCCTCTGCGTATCGCTCTCGGTTGTCGGATCAGCGATGGGCATCTATGCGACGGGGACCAGTGTGGTCGGAGGCGGAGTCCGATCGCCACGCATCCGAACCAAGAATCTGATCTCGGTTTTGTTTTGTGAGGCGGTGGCCATCTATGGCCTAATCAGCTCGATTGTGTTCTCGGGCAGTCTGCAAAAGTATGAATTGCGTACGGTGATCCACAGCCGTGAAAAGATGAACCAGAACATGTTTACGGGATTCGCCACCTTTGGTGCGGGCCTATCCGTTGGCCTGGTCAATCTGAGCTGCGGCATTTGCGTGGGTCTGGTTGGATCGGGGGTGGCGCTATCGGATGCAGCGAACTCGGCACTCTTTGTCAAGATACTGATTGTGGAGATCTTTGGATCGGCCATTGGACTGTTTGGATTGATCGTTGGCATTTTGATGACATCCCGTGCGGAAATGATCGACTAACTCTTGAGAGGACTATGAATTTTATTAAAAACTACAATAACTTAAATGCTAATCATCGTCGCTGTCTTCGCTACTGCCTTGCTGCTGCTCCTCTTGCTGCTGTGCCTGCTCCTCATCCTCATCCTCTTCGTCCCAGTGCTTGATCTTCTTGTTGGTCATGAAATCTTCGCGCAGCACATTCCATTCGGACTTTTTCTTTTTATTGGCAGCATGAGCTGGCTGCTCATCGTCGCTGGGCCCATCCTCGTCGTCCTCGTCAGAGTCGGAGTCCGTTTCGGACTCCTCCTTCTTGACGCGATTGTCTATCGCTGAGGATTTGGCACGTTTGCCGCTCATCAGCACATCCAAAAATTTTCGCTTATCAATGTTGTTGAGCACCGCATCCTGGCGACTGTCTAGCGGTCCAGCGTCATTCAGCTGCTTCTGCAGATCCTTTTGTTGGATGCGCACCGCATTGAAGAACTGCACCGTGCCGCGTGTGGCAACCTTGCGTAGATTACGCTCGCGCTCCATGTCCCGGTAACTGGGCTTCACACGCAACTGCAGCGGCACATTCTTGCGCTGTTGTCGCGTCAATTGTGCATCGAGCGCAGAGCCTGCCTCGGGCTTAACATCCTTCTCCTCCTCCTGTTCTTGCTCCTCTTTGGGCTTTTTTACGTCACTGCCAGTAATCTCAAAGTCATAGTCCTTCTGTTTGGATTTGCTGCTGGTGCTGTTGAGTTTTTTAGCCCGCGAGAGCATTGTCTTATTTTGTGTCGTTGGCTTCGTTGTTTGGAGCACCTTCAGCATGGAGTTGGCCCAGCCGGAGTTGCCTCCTTCGTTGTCGCTCGCATCATTGCTTTGGTGGTCATCGGAACTATCCGTCTGCTTGTCCGTTGGCGGCATCTTCTTGGCCCGCTTAGCGCTTAGCAGTGCCATTATTGCAATACAATGTTTCAATGAAATGCACTATAAACAAAAGCGAGTCTTTTTAAACACGTGCGAGTCGCAATAAATATAAATTTGAATCAGCTGTTTTTAACTGCAGTGCTATTAGGAGCACCTATGTTCGCCGAACTAGTTCATTTTACGACCCTTTTGGCCTTTCGCTAACTGGTCACACTGCGCAACATAAAATGATCATCTTAGTTTTAATTGCTTATTTTAGTCGCTGCAATCTGTGAATTGTGGAATGAATAATAAAATTTTGAAAACACTTTGATGATTTGATGTTTTTTTTCGGAATTTGTTTAAATTAATATCAAATGAACATTTACTGTATAAGCTTTATGCAAATGGAACATTTTTCTGCACTTAGCTTTATATTAGTTGAATTTTGAATATTAATCGATTCTAAAATAAAGTCAAAATCAGCTAACCAAATACAAATTTTTAAATATTAAACCTTTATCATCCCAGTACCAGCAGACTTTACATAAATATGCTAATTATAATATTAAATAAATAAGTTAATCGTAAGGTTAATTTCAGATATGTGTGAAAAATTAAACCTCAAAAATTATACTCTTAAAAGGTTTTTTTCAAGATTAATTAATTATTTATTTTAGTGCACTTTTCTTTGAATAATAATAAAATAATTCCTAAATTAAATGTATTTTGTAATTTTATATGCCTAGCTCTGTTAAAAATAAATTGAAAAAATATCTACTCAATAAATAAATATTTATAACGTGGAAATATAGTTCTGCTCTTTATTTGGCAATTTGATCATATAAACTCTTTAGCGCTGTGTCATATTCCTCCAGATCACTTGTGGTTTGATGTCCAGGCGTGAAATCTTTCAGTTGATAAATAAATATTTGAATAAACTGCTGCGTAAGCTAAAGAAAACAAGTAAACTTAACAATATATATACAAGTAAATTAATGCAAGCAGAACTAACCATGAGGATTGGGTGAGCCTTCTTGTGCACGACAAGACACTCCATGAGGACAGCCACAAACTTGGCATAAAATTCAGGTAGATGCACATGCAAAACCTGAAGCGGAATCGGAAGAATGCACACTAAAAAGCAACGTTGCATTGCGACCAACAATTGGGCACAGGAGTCGGCATTTTGCAACAGTTTCTCGGATTCCAACTGAAGCATTTGCAGAATGTGTTTGGCCCATCGATAATTGGTGCAGACATTGAGCGAGGAGCAGACGTCTAAGCAGGCAGTGATTTGATTCGGTTGTGTGAAATCGGCGGACAATGCTAATCGGATTTCCTCCTTATTTAGGGTGAAGTAATAGCCCAGATTCGTTATGAAATTCAGCAGACAAATTGACATTTTAACATCGGACGAGAGGGAGACATTTAGTGTAAGACGTTCGAGCATCTCATCGCACTGATTCCACTGTACAAGCATCGATTAGCAAGGAAATCACAATATGTACAGATATATGTAATAGCTACCATAAAACCATCCAGCTCCGTGAAATGATCTAAGCAGTGACAAAGGCAATTCCAATTCTCGAAAGTTGTGTCCACCGGGTGCAAGCTGTGCGCATCCCTAAACACATTGTCATAGATAACGCCTTGTATATTCAGCTGCTGGATATCAGCCGGATGCTGTGAATCAAGTTATAAGCAACGGATTCAACGGATACTAACATACATCTAATATATCTCACGCTATTTTGTAACATGTGTGAAAAGATTCGAGCGCCAAGCTGCTTGTACTCCGATTGAAAGCATTCACGCACATTTAGACCCACAGCTACACTGAATGTGATCATTTTTGTGGACATTTTGACATCGTTTGCATAACGCTTCTGTAAATAGTATAATAACGATTTTTATACAGTTCAATGAATATAATTATATTATTATAATCACCTGTAAATAACTGGCAAAACCATGAACTGCGCCAAGCTGACGCTTCCAACAATCCTTGTGCAACTTTTGCTCATAATAACAAAATATATGCGATTCCTCAGCATTGTGGCAGATGGACAACAAATTCCCGAGGTATTCATCGGCATTTCGCAACAGAAGAGCAGCTTCGCCAATCAGGCTGTAAATCGTTGGCGATGCGATCAATTCGCACAATAGCAAAATAAGCTGTGCCCGCAACTGCAAGAACAAAATATAGTACAACAATATCAAAATAACTGATAGCACTCAAGCAAACCTGGTGGTTTGGGACATCATTCGAAATGATATCCTTGTTCCTCTGTAGAAGATCATACAACTTGGGCAGCTCTTGTTGGAGTAAGGAATGATAGGTTTCAAAGTGCGACGGCAGCAACTGCACACTATCCAGATCTTTCTTTAAGGCAGGCAGCATGCATAGCTGCACCTGATCACTTATAAATGCCAACTCTGGATCGTTAGCATCGAAATTCATTGCACCATTAAACAAACTTAGTAGCTCAAAAACAAATTCAATTCGCTCTTCAAACAAATGTGTTATCGATAACAGCTCAGCTGCTTGACAGAAAGACCATATGTTTTATATAAAAAATTAAATGGCCACTTGTTTAATAATTTGTAACCGGTCTTATTGCTCCCAGAACATATATTCGGTTAATCTGTCAAAAGCTATATAATAAATATAATGCTAACGCTTAAGCTCGGCCTTGGGTCATCCAATGCCTGACAATGTGTCATTCATCAATAAGTATTGAGTCCACTGTTGAAATTATTTTTGAAACCGATACAGCTGCTTGTCAGAGTGACCATATATCTTACGAAAAAAAAAATTAAATGGTCACTCGGTTAAGAAATTGCAAGCTTTCCGATTGCTGTCAGAATATTTTGTGTTAATCTGTGAACTTATCTATTAAAAGAGATATAATAAATATAATGCTAAAGCTTAAGCTCGAAGCCTTGGGTCATCCAACGCCCAACAATATAGCATTCAGCAGTACGTATTGAAATAATTGTTGAAAGTAATTATCAACTAAATCCGCTGCACACACAGACCGCAAGGAATTTGCAAGCACAGTTCTTTGGCTGGAGGATCAAACGATACGTTTATATCCCATTGAGGGCCGGGACACAATGCGTAATTTGGAGGACATGCCGGCGTGGGAAGAGGGCTACAAGCAATACTGCACTGACCTGAGCATGCCACCATTCGAAACACAGCTGGAGCAGCTGACCTGGTTGGTGGGCAACGCAATGCGTCTCGAATTTCTCGATAATCCCTCCCAATATGAATCGATCAATGGGGTGACTGAAGGCCAGCCAAAGAACAACGGCGCTCAGTCGCAGGAGAAAGTGCAAACCATATTTGATGGTAAGATAAATGGTGAGTTGCTTAAGGGATTTTTAAGTAAAGTTCGCATTTACTTATTGCAACTAATTGTTTTTTTTTTTGTAAACAGTCCATGACAAAGATTTCATTGCGGGCGTGCGCACGCTGGCCACAAAGCTGCAAGTGCCCCATCATCCCAATCACTTGCTGCAACTGCAGGCTATAACGCGCATTGTCCACGAGCGAATTGGGCCGGCATCAATGAATCGCAAGGCGATCACCGGCACACCTTTCCCCTTTGACAAGGGCAATGATGTGGTCGCGGCCAACGATCCGGCATTGGATTATCCGATGCGCATCTTGCGACTGCTGCAAATCCAAAGTCTGCGCCAGCTGCAGACGCATATCAATGAAACCATTGTCGCCGTGCAATCGCTGACGGCCAACCCGAAGACTGACACCAAGCTGGGCAAGGTGGGACGCTAATGGACGAGAGACGCATCGTTGCACAACTATAATTGTAATTGTAATGAACAAACTAAATTCACGAATATACTATAATTAAATGACATCAGCGCTTAAAGAACGGATGTTCTCCTGTAATTTTTTTCGGCTGCTTTTCGGACTCGGCGGTTGCCTTCAGGAAATTTGCATCTGCCAAGCGGGCGGCGCCCAGGAAACCAGCCACTATTTTGGAGGAGAAAGTGTCTAATTGTTGTTGTTGAATACTTGTTATTTTTCAATTTTATTGTGTACCTGTAGCAATGCTCTTCATTGCGTAGTGTTCGACGGGCGAGCGACGGCGTTTGGCTTGCGAGAGCAGATAGGCTCCAATGCCGATCATGCCAAAGCCGCTTATTAGGCGACATGCGATGCAGTCGGCGGACTCGGACACATTGTCCCGATACCACGCAGATATTTTACTAATCATTTTGTTCCCTCAATCGGCTATATTTTCGAGTTTTCCAGACTTTCTTTGAGTTTGATTTTCTTTCTGTGCTTGTTTTTATTTTAACAGTTCTATCATAGTCTTGAATCAAACGTCTATCTGAACTAAATGAACGAATTTAGTTCATACACGTCCAGGTTCATTTAGTTCGTTCATTGTTGGTGAAAATTGATTAAAGCGGCTCGTATCAGCGCATTAATTAATTATTTAAATTTTAGTAATCTATAGTTTATGAATAATGATCCTAGCTAATCAAAATAATTCAAACAAACACTGAGACACCATTTGTCTGCAACAACATTAACATAGGCAGCAATTATCTGTGCACCTTAACATATGCTTTCTGGATAAATTCGTGTTTCGGTAATGCAATGGCAACTTAGGGGCCATCAATTACCGTTAAATAATAAAAACTTGCTCCTGGAATTTGCGGGCACCCTGTGTCGGAAAAAATATTATCCACTTTGAAATCCGTGGTCCTTTATTATTTAGAGTCGCACTCACGATCTATCGCCAAACTTCCACATTCTATCGACCATGCAATGCCGACCGCCACACTTTGCAGTGAAACAAACGTAAAGCAATAATACAAACACGAGTGGAGGAAAATCTTTAATTTAAATGTTTCAAGTTGATCGTTAACATTAACTCCGGCTCAAAAAATTGTAAGTTTCAATGCTCATTGGACTTGGCTAAGTTTTAAAAGGTAGCATTAAGTAAAAGTATAGGAAAATGCAGGTGAAAATTGATGCCGAAAATGAAAAAAAAAAGTTGCCGACGCGACAACGCTACGCACACTTGCAAGCAAGCACACACACACACGTATACAACACTAGCTTGCAAATGGCGGATGGAACCAACAGCAAAAACTGCATGCATGTACTCTGTGTATGTGCGTGTGTGTGTAGTTTAAGGCAGAAATACTGCGCTGTGATTTCAATGTGAAAAAGTTGTAAAATTTGTTGACGTTGCAAGAAGTTGGAAGTGTGGAAAAAGGAAAAAAACAGCAACGGTAATTGCATAAAGTAAAAGCAGGTCCACGGAACGTGTGCGTATGTTTGTGTATTGTGCAGGGCATTTGTTGTTGTGTAGCGACAACAGCAGCGACGCCCTTTTGTCTTGAGCTTTACGTACGTCGCCCTTTTGCACGGATCTCGGCTGACAGTGTCCGCCCCCGCCCACGCCTTCGCAACAAACCATGTCTTCGTTTTCTATGCGTTTGTGTCTGTGTGTGTGTATAAGTGAGAGTTTGTGTGTGTATTGGTGGTCGTCGTATATGCTCCACATCTATCAGACGAAAGAAGACGAAAGACGAAGACAAACAGCCGCACACTCAAAATCGGGTTTAGGTCACTTGGCAGGCAGGCATATTCATGCATACACACACACATACGCGCGCAAGTGTATTTGCATGTGTGTGTGCGCTTCACATACATTTCAAATGATTCGTTTTCTCAAAGTCTCGCCAATTAAGACGCTTAATAAGCCACGTTGAATATGCTTCTTCTTATTTTTTTTATATTCTTTCACTCAATGCGCTAATGTCATTAGAGTGCAAACTGATAGTCAAAAGCCGAATGGGGCAGCAGCTGACAAAATGAATTTAATATTCTTTTCTTTTCATTTTTTTTTTCTTTAAATTTTTTGATTTGCCAAGAATTTGTGGCGCTGTCTGAGTGACACCCTTTGCCCCCTGATGGCTGCCTGACTTGTTTTCCGTCTGCCATTTAGCGCTGCCTTTGTTGCGATTTTATCAAACAAAAAAAACATAATTGATGTGCTGGCCCCTATTTGTTGCACTTGTGTATGTGTATGTATATATATATATATATATGTATGTGTGTGTGTGTGTCCGCATTTGTATTGGACTTGTCTTTTGACATTTACACATTGCTGCTGCTGGCGGCAGCCGTACAGCAGATTCACGCCCCCCATTATCCCTCTGCTTCCTCCTTTCAATTACACTCAGAGACAAGCACTCTCTCCCGCTCTCGCTCTCTGTCAGTTTGAGCGCTTATCACATATAAGCAAAAGAATGCATTTTGTTTGTATGTTCATGTATAAGCACTCACATATATGTGTATATATGTATATATATATATATGGAAGAGTATATGTATATGTATAGGATGATGTATAATGAATGTGCCTAGTTTGTCATTCACATTTTTCTCAATAAATACGATTGATAATAATAATCAATAATCATTAATTAGACATCATCATCGACCATTGACTACTGACTCATTGTAAAATGCGATGAGTCGTTCCCTTGAACCTTGAACTAGTTCCTAAGTTGACTTTTACTATTAGCTAGGAGCAAAATATAAAAATAAAAACAAAGTAGCATCAAACAACTGCGAACTTGAGGCTCCCACGCAACATTCACGCTCTTTTTTCTTTTTTTTGGTGAGCGCACTCGGAAACATTGCATGTTGCATAAACATAATTAAATAAATAACACAGAGAACTTTCTAAAATTAACACTTGGCCGTTGAGGAGGCCTCTGACTAACAAAAATAGAAAAAGCAAAATTGCATTTATGAATAACAGCACAAACAAAGACAACAAAAAAGAAAAAGAAAACATTGAATGAATGATGAGCGTGTGTCAATAAATGTAAATAACAAAGTTGGGAGTGTGCGAGAGAGGGAGAGAGAGTGAGAGAGAGGCACTTGCACACCGTTACACCGCTGAAGCAATTGGCCGTGTGAGTGAAAAAAAAAGAAAAATTCCATATAGGCAGCGGCGCAGCTGCTTTTCCTTCCATCTAATTGAGCAACAGCAAAATTGGGCCAAATTTGCAGTCGGCGCAGCTTGTAACCAGGCCAGCAGTAAATTTAGCAAACGACTCAGCCATGAACAAACACACACATACATACCAATGCAATTATTTATGTGTGTATAAGTTTGTACTTGTTGCAGTTTTATTTTATGCTTTTGCCGATAATCATTTTTATAGACGTCGGAGCCGAGTCACACAGACACACACACACACACACTCATACGAACATACACACATATGTGCATGATTACATGTTGTACCTGTGTGTGAATGTGAGTGAACAGTTGAGCACATTCCGCAGCGGCGCTCTTCCGGTTGATGACCTTTACCGGCTTTTATTTGTAGTTTCTTCTTCACGGCCGCTGGACGACGCTCAAAGAAATGCTGCCTTTGTTGGCATCTTTGAAGTGAAAAAAAAATTAATTACCGATAGCCAACAAAATCTCTTTGACTGGCATCTATATTTAGCACAGCCCTGTTAAATGTTTAATAAATAAGCATTAAACATTAAAACAGCTCTGCCGACGTCATAGTTGTGGTCAGAGTTAGTAGTGTTGCCACCCTTGGGAAAGGGGAAAATAAAGTTTAAAGTAACTTTCAATTGAATTGAAAGTATCTACTTTGCCAATCTAATCATTCACACTGATATCAGCTTTCTGATTGATTAAAATCCAAAACTCTCCAAGCTTTAAAGAAGGGTACCATTTATATATAATTGATTGGAAGAAAAGCGCAGTTGACAACTCTATCAAAATAAGTTTGGCAAATTAGTAACATTTCTGTAGCACAGTCATCCAAATTATCTTGAATTTATTGTGCGCAAATAACACAATATTGATACAGTCTGATATTTGAACGCTTCACAAAATCCGGAGAGAAAGAGAGAGAGAGAGAGAGAGACGAAAAGAGATATATATAGAGAAAGAAAGTAAAAAGAAATTGTTTTTCAAAGATGAATAAACAGTAGAGTCAAAAAAATATGTACATATTTACATTTCACATAGGCAAGTAAATAAAATAAATACATATGTGTATTTGATAAATAACAATAAAGTATAAGATATATACACACTTATAGATGTGCTATTAAAATGTATAAGTAACGTCGTAAAATGTATTAAAAGTCTGATACTCAGAGTAAGACAAGCAGAAAACATGACGCTGATTCCAGCAGCCAGTTGGTGTTTGTGCTTTTGCTTGTTGGTTTGCTTGCTTGCTTGCTGGCTAAGCGAGAGCAACAACCTTGAATTGAATTCGCAATTTGTGAATTCTTCAGCAGCTCAGCTAAGAAGCGGGCAGCAGCAAGCAGAGCTTATGGAGTGAACACACTTGAAATTTCAAGTTCTAACTGTATGTATACATGCGCCAGCCGTTAGTGTGAGCGAGATAGCGCAAAAGAGAGAAAGAGAGTGAGAGGGAAAGCAAGCAGAGAGCGCACTAGCAGAGCTGAGCTTTAGCGTCGGTGCTTCGTCATTATCATCGTCGTCGCTGCTCACCGCCACCTTGTGTCATTCGCGGTTCATTCGTGTTGTGTCCATTTAGCACTCTGCACAAGAGGCGCTTCGAGTGCTCGGTGAAAAAAAAACGAAAAACGAAAAAAAAAGAAGCGATCCCACATTTCTGCTACTGCTTTAGTTTAGTGAGTGCTATTCCAATATTTTGCATACGTGTGCGTCAGCAAGTGATGCGCGTATATATATTATGTGAGTGTGTATGTATGTATGTGAATTTCCTGTTACATTTGCAAGTCTTTCTTTGGGGGTTTTTTTTGGTTTTAGATGTTTGTGTGGGCAGCTTTTGCTGATGGCATCCGCTTAGAGTTCAACCAAAAAAGAAAAAACAAGTTGCTATTTGCTTACTCATTTTCGTGAAATTAAGCTTTTGGGCCAGGCGAGAAAAAGTCTGTCATCGATCCTAGCCTCAAATATTCCACAGCTGTATGTGTGCATGTGTGTGTGTGTGTGGGTGGGTGTGTTTAAGTTGCTTACATACGGTTTAAAGTGCGACTTTTGCTTACAGCTTTTGTCTGATAAACACAGAACATGAGCATAATAAACAACATGATATAAATAAGTCAACTATTATTTACAGCACGACCAACAATATTAACGATAACAATTGCATACGAATGTATTTTTTGTTGTACCATTCACCGGCCGGCTAACTGATAAGCACGTACACACATAGATTTATATGCGTATACAGTGTGTCAAGAAAGTGTTTGGACGCTGAAAAAAATTGATTTCTTTTGAAAAAAAAAAAAAAAATTTATTATTGACTTTAATTTCTTCTTATTTTTCTACAATTAAGTGGACTTGCTGTAGATGCAGCTGTCATATATATATATACATAAATACATATATATATAACACATACATGCATAGATGAAATGTTCAAGTGAATGACGCTAATAATTGCTTCGATTTTGTTATGTTGCCGTTGATCTCTCTGATCTATCACTATGTTTAGTATACAATTTGTGGAGCAACGTCAACGTTTTCGACGTTCCCCAATTGCCAAGTCCCACATCATCGGTAATACCGATCCTCTACCACTCCAAGTGCTGATAATGTGCGGCAAATAAAAAAAAAAAAGAAATAACAACAACAAAACGAGCACTAAATAATTTATAATCACTTTTCGAGGAAGAAGAACTTTTGACACCACACACAATACTAGCAAAAACTCATTTTGTTTGATGTTTCTTTTCTTTTTTTTTTTTTTTGTTTCTATTCCTTGGAAGAATATTCGAATTGTAGGAAAGATAAAGCGCAATTTAATCTGTGCACCAAGAACAACGTTCGTTATATTGACAGCTCACTGTGAAACAGCTACAATCAAATTATAATTTTGTTCCGCTACTTAAGCGGCAAACAAAAACAAATCAACATATTTATGTACTTGGCGATTTTCTGGCTGCCACCATAAATAATAAATAAATCACAGAATATTAAAATGCTCAAGTTGAGATTATTATTTTATGCGACAAATTGAAATTTGAAATGAAAAATGTTAGCGATTAGCGAAGGACGTAATCAAATATCGTATTTTGAGCAGTCTGATTTGAATACTTGGCATTTAGTTGGCTGCTATTAATTAAGTTCTGCTAACATTTCTTTCTTTTGCATTTTACTGTTACAGTAATCTCCAAGAGTGAATCAGGCAGCAAACGGCAAATAACTAATATCATCGACGGCTGGCGACACAAACTATGCAAATATGGATTTTCACATTCTGATTGTCATTGGTTGTGTGTTTGGGGCATCGCTGCTCTCGTTTCTGTTCATCAACAAGATCTTCAGGCGCAAGACCTTCGAGGAGGTTGTCGCCGAGAAGAGGGCCATGAGCGCCAATTTGTATGCGCAGAATAAGAGTGCTGGCTCCAATCCGGCATCGCAGCGCAAGCCCAAAAAGAAGGAGCTGAAGCGCGAGAAGAAGCAGCGTCAGCGCGAACAGCAGAAGGACAATGCCAGCCAGGAGGATCAGGATGATTTCTCCGATGGCGGCCATTCCGAGGAGCAGGGCTCTGTCCAACTGGAGGAGGAATCATCGCAGCCCGGCTTGTCCAAGCAGCATGTCGAATTCGAACCAGATCCAGAGGTCATGAACGACCATCATCATCATCAGCAGCAGCAGCAGCGACGACCCAGCAATGCCGAGAAGGAGAATCATCCCAGCAACAACAATAACAACAACAATAATAACAATATCAGTGGCAAGAAAAACAAAAAGGATAAACGCAATGGAGCCGGCGGAGCCAAGTCAGCACCTGTGGTGGGCATACTGGTGAACAAGAACGATGTGATCGCTGTGCGGCAGACTCCTGTCGATGAGACGCCCGTGCTGAACAACTTTGAGGTGCGTGTGCCCAAGGATGTGGTCGAGCTGAAGAAGCAGGAGCATAACAACAACAGCAAGCAGCAGCAGCAGCAGCAGGCACAAAAGCGAAATGGTGGCCCAGCCAAAAAGGAGAAGCCAACGCTGATCAGCGCCGCCCTGGAGCAGGCCGTCGAGGTGCCGCATGTGCCCAAGCAGGCAGCAGCCCCCAAGCAACAGCAGCATCAGACAAGTGGCGGCTCTCCCAAGCAAGTGCAGCACAAGCAGGCCAAGCAGCAGCAACAACAGCAACCCGGAAATAAAAGGCAGAAGGACACAATGTTGACCGCCAAGGATCTGGTGCAGGCGCTGGATAAGCTCGCCGAGCATCAGACCATTGGTGTCTCGGCGCTGATGAATGTGTTTGCACGTGCCGAACTGAATCGTTCCGAGATCCAAATACTCATTGATTATCTGCTGAACAAGCAGCAGGATATGCCCGCCAATCATGGCGAGTGGTCCGATGACATTTGCCAGAAGCTGAAGCGTCAGCTGGAGGAAAAGGAGAAACTGCTCGCCGAGGAGCAAGAGGCATCGAGCGGCATTCAGGCCAAGTTGCGTGAATTGCGCCAGGAGATCAATACGGAACGCGCCCAGATCCACAGTCGCAGCCAGGCGTACAATGAGAAGCTGCTCGGCAAAGATCAGGAGCTGACCGCACTCAACCAGGAGCTGGCCAGTGCGAACGAAAAACTGGCACTGGAACGCCAACAGTTCCAGGCCAAATTGATGTGCGAGAAGCAGTTGCGTGTGGACATGCTGCCACAGCTGCAACGCCTGCAACAGGATCTCGCCCACAAGGAGAAGATCATCGCGGACATGACCAGCTTTGTGAACGCCGAGGCGCATGCCGAAACCGAACTCATCCAGCAGCAGGCCCAGCAGATTATGACGCTGGAGCAGCAGCGTGACGAGCTCGAGGCGCGTCTCAATAACAGCGTATTCGAGCTGGAGCAGCGCAAGCAGCTCGAAACGGAAAACTCCGAACTGAAAGTGGAGCTGCGCAATCTGAACAATGCACTCGAATCGGCCGGTGCCGATCTGACGCACTCACAGTCGGAATTGGCACGCGTCCGCAACACCGAGCTGCAGGAGTTGCGCCAACAGACCGTCTCGCTGGAGGCGAGCAATGTCAGCCTCAACAAGCAGCTCAGCAAGGCGAACAGTCATGCTGTGCAGGTCTCCGCCCTGCAATCGGAGCAGGCCCAGGCCCAGTCCGAGACACTGATCGCCCTGCAGGCCAAGCTGCGCACCCTCAACGATGCCCAGGCTACGCAACGGCAACAGACAAGCGCCCTCCACACCCAGCTGGAGGAGGCGCAACAGCGCGCCGAGCAGCTGCAGCACAAGGAGCAACAGTTGCAGCTCGAGTTGCACGAGCAGCGCGAAAAGAATAACGTAACTAAACATTAGCTGTTATTAGTAATTAGTAATAATCCCTCCACTCCCCCTGCTAGCTGTAGTTGTCATAGTTGTCCGCTTTTATTATCCTATCTGCTATCCTTTTCTGTTGCGCTCTCGTTAAGTGCTTGCTTCCATCTTTCGTTACTAATTGCCACGTGTATGTCTCTGTGTTGTTTCGTCAGGATGTGCGTATGAAAAACTGGAAGTTGATTGAAGCGTTGCAAAATGCCGAAGCAACCAGAACCACAACAAGAACAGCAAAGACGAAAACAAATACAGCACAAACCACCTCCTTAGGCGTAAGTGCATGGAACCCAAAACAAATTATTATCATTATTATTATGCATTATTATTAACACTCCACTCGCCCGCAACACAGATATTTGTGCAGCTGCCTCCAAATTGTGTTTGCACACTTGTTTTGTTGTCGTTGCTGACGACAGTAGTAGTATTATTTACTGTCTATTGAAGTTGTGCCAAAATATGTATCAGACGGCAGAAAGCAGCTTCCAAGTCATAAATTATAGATAGATATTAGCATAAGACGATGTTGACTTTAAATTTGGCATGAAAGTTTTGGCAAAACAAACGCAAATCAAGCAAAATTCATCAAATTCTGAAACCGTGTTTTCAGATCGAAAAAAGTTATCGTTAGTGAAAAACTACATAAAAAAAATAGTGTTGTAAAAAAGGTCGCTTTTATTATTATTTTTCTTTATTTTTTTCGAAACTGCGAAAGTTGAAATCCCCACATTTTATGCGTGTCGATTTTGTGAGCAGCTCAACTGTAATAAATTTGATGTAATTTAAAGGCGGCTATCCGCAAACCACCATAAAATCCCATGAAAGGGGAAAGCGCATTGAAATGGAAAAATTCAATTGTGAGAGGAAATTATCTTAATCATTGCGAAAAAGTATACTTATAAAGACCGTCGATGCGAGAAACTTATCTATTTCATTCAGCAGACCCAAAGAAATATATTTAGCAATTTGGTGAACGAAACTTTTTCGATTTGAAAGCAGAGCTTTTTCCTGACATATTTTTAATCAACTAATAATTTCATTTGGAATTTGCATATTGAAGAATGTCTATCTATATATTCAACAGCAGGCATTAGGGTATCTACCAGTCGAGCACTCTCCACTAACTAACTTGTTTATCTTTCACTATAACTACTCGTCTCTGTAACTGCCAATTCATAATTCGCTTGTAAATTGTATTGCAAAACCTTAATTCTAAACATCTTTTTTTTTTTTTTTGTAATTTACAGCAACAACACAATCAATTGCAGGAACAGCAGCAACAGTTGCAACAGCAACAGCAGCAACAAAAGGCAACCGCCGCTGCCAATGGTGGTGGCGAGCTGAGAGCCGCTGCTACCACCGGCTCGATAAAGGCGGAACAGCAGCGCATCAGGGAGCTGTACCAGCGGCTGTATCCGGATGCGGTTAAGGCGCATGCGGCCACAGCACTGAATGCCTCGTTCGATGAGTGGCTGGAGCAGGTGCTTCTCACACACATCAAGCAGCAGCAACAGCAGCAGCCGGCAGCAGCGATTAGCAGTAGTAATAAGTCCACACAATCAAACAACAACAGCAGCAGCAGCAGCAGCGATCACAACAGCACCAGCAGCAGCAGCAGCACCCACAACAATATTAGTAGCAATAATAGTAATTCGAATAGCAAATCCTTCTCCTCCTCCTCCGGTAGTGCTGTCGAGCAGCAGGAGCTGCACACACAGAACCTAAAGCTGCGCAAGCGCAACGATGAGCTCACGCAGCTGGTCACAAAGACGGTAAGCCAAACGATCTATTTACGACTATATAGCATATACAATATTTATATATCTATATATATGCAGAGCAACACGCTGGTGGATTTGGAGCAGCGTGCACGGGAACAGGATGAGCACTGGCGCGGCATTGTTAGCCAAAAGGAGCAGCTCATATCCAAGCTGCAGCAGCATCATGCCTCAAATGGTGAACAGGTGAGTTAGTTGAGCTAGCCATCTAAATCGGAACAGATTTCATTATATATATTTATCCTGGTCTATTGCAGGACATTTAATGTCGCCATGTGAGGGAGCCGCCCTTATTAAATAGCAAAACCACAACGATAATTGACAACAATCACAGCGTTTGTCGAACTTCCAAAAACAACAACAACAACAACAATTCTAACAATCTATTAAGTTTAATATTACAAATATTTGAAAAAAAAAACTAAAAAAAAAAAGAAAGAGGAGACAAAAAATCAATACGAGCCCAACAACAAGAGCAACATTTAACATTTTAAAGTAGCAAAAAGTAAATGATGGAAATAAGTAATGCTTTAAAGAATTACATTTATATATACATGTACATATATATAACTGATGAAAGCAAACAAAAAACTTGTGCAATGTTGAACATTTAAACGTGAAGCGAAGAAAGATTTGAGTGTGAATGAAAATGATTATTATTCGAAATGAGTGTGGCCCGTGTGGCTGCTGAAAGAAAGGACTTGTTGTAGGAGGACTGGTTAGCAAATACTGCAGCTTGCAGCTGCATCTATCCATATGCCCCACAAAATTCACACATTGCTGCTGTTGTGCACATGCATGCACACACAACACACACACACAATTATATTATTATTTATATGCATACATATATAAATATATGATATATACACTTATATACATATTATGCTATATTATTTGTGTTTACCTGCATTTAAAATCATTATCAAAGTGCGCGCCGTAACATTTTTTTTTTTTGTATATGTTTTATTATGTTAAGCAACTGAATTTATAAAGCCTACTTGGATCGTAATTATTCAATAAAAACAAAACAAAGCAAAAATTATAAAAGAAATGATAAATAGAGAATGTCATCAATAATAATCAATAATTGGTATTCTGTATACTTTGTTCGGTTAGAAGAGAAGTGTTCTCATGTGCATCGTATTTTTTGTATATTTTGTTCGATTCATTGTTTGTAAAAGAGCGCAAAGTATTTAATGTAGCCGCAGCAGCAACAACATACAACATTAATTGTATGTTTGTAGAGCAAATGGTTAGCCCACAACAGCAACATTTAATTAAGCATATAATATAAATAATAAACACAAACCAACAAAACACTATTTTTATATACATACAAAAAACATATATATATATATATATAAACATATAAAAACAACAAAAAAAATCAAAAAACACAATATATATTTAAATAATAAGTAAACGCAAATTACAAACACAAAACGCATCGACGTTGAAATTGTTGTGCGCAAAAGATGGGTAAATGAAAGCGAATTAGCAATTAATGTCAATACTTGTTGCGTTACAGTAAAAGTTAAATTAGGCAAAAACAAATTGAATACACAACAAAAGAGAAAACAAAAACAAAAACAGGTCGCAGAGACAGCATTCGTTATCGATTAACACTAAACGCTGGCGTATCGATAAATAACAACAACAACAAGAAAAAAGCTAAGCGCTGCAATATAACAATTTATGATGTATAATTTATGCTAAACGAGAATTAAATACACACAAAAAAAAAAAAAAAACAAAACCACATGAAAATTTCAGTGCATTATATTTCTGTGTTTTAATCTGATTAAATGTGCATAAATACAAATGGAACTTAATATTTACTTTGGAGGAAATCATGTGAGAAACTCAGCGCTTGGACGCCAACTGAAGATTCTGCAAGGGGATTACCATATGGAATGGATACTGAAGCAGCTCGACGCATGACGGACGCTTCTTCGGACTCAGCTGTAGACAATTCTTGACCATCTGCATGCAAAAGAGAAGTACTTTAGTTGAGAATGCGTATACAATTACAATATATACTCACATGCACTAGCATGATTGGATAGTAAATTGGTATGGCTGGATACTCGATGCTGGTGCCGGGATTGGCAATCGCATTCATCTTGGCATTGATGTTTCGAATGTGGCCAAATGGGGTCTTTTGATACAGCAGCAAATACAGAATGCAACCGAGCGACCAAACATCCGATTTCGTTGAGATTTTGATCTTGGGCTGATTGCTGCCACGCATCGGGCTTGTGCCGCTCGAGATGTCGGTTAATGCCTCCGGACTGATGTAGTTGAATGTGCCCGCCTGTGAGAACTTAATGATGCTTGTCGAGTCCACAGCAATATTGCTGGCAATGCCAAAGTCGATCAGCTTCAGACGGCCATTGACCATCAGAAAGTTGGCTGGCTTCAAATCAGAATGAATGACACCATTCTGGTGTATATAATTGACTGCCTGCAGCATTTGATAGAGTATGTTCATCAGATTATATAGCGGTATATTTGTGGTGAATCCCTGCAGGATCTTGTTCAAATCACAGTCCCCCTTCTCCATGACCATGTACAGCTTAGATTCCTGCCGCAACAGTTCACTGAAAATATTAAAGAGAACACAAGCCATTTATATTTAAATTTAAGTTAATTTAAGTCCGATTTATATACTCACTAATCGTAGAGTGACACAACGCATGCATTGCCCTGGAGCTTCTCGAGCAGCTTGGTTTCATTGAGATAGCCCTGTACCACAACCGGATCGGCTTGCAGATCGACCACTTTTAGGGCAAACTCTTGACCCGTATCCTTCCGACGAGCCAAGTAGACAGAACTGGAGCCGCCACAGCCGAGCTTCTTAACCATAACATACTCGTGGCTCTTGATTTGCAGCACGCTGCAACTCGACTTGGCAGCTGCTTCGGGCTTGGCAGGTACTGCAGCAACAGGTACGGAATTGGACACAGAGACGGGAACGGATACGGGTGTGGGTGCTGGCTGTTCATCAGGCACAGCTGGCTTTATTTGTTCGGTGGTGCGAAAGGCGCGATCAAGTGACTTTTTCGTTTTGTTGTATGAGGATTCTTTGGGCTGAGCGGGTGTATCGGGACTCTCGCTGATGGTGTCGCACAGCGAGAATGTGAGACTGTCGCTGGTGAAGGGCGCACCGCGACTCACCGTCATCGGCGTCTGGAAGAGCACCTTCTGTGCGCGAAACTGATTCGCCACTTCGTTTCGCGCCTTCTGTTGCGTGGTCTGCTTTGTGGACATGCTGCACACCTGTGGCGTCACGAATTCCGTCTCCGGAATGGCATGTGACTTATAAGTGCTGGTTGCTGGGCCAGCACGCAGAGGCGACTCACTATTCACCACCTTGCGTTGCTTCGAAATGATTTTCAGCGTTGGCGGCGCTGGTTTTTGAGCTGGCTGCTTTTGTGGATTGGGTGATTTTTTGGTAGTGGTGGTGGTTTTGGTGCTGCCGCTGCAGTTGATGCCCATGTTGCCGAAGCGACCAAGAAAGGATAAATTGGAGTCGCTGGCGCGCAATGGAACTGCTGCTGCGGATGAGACACCCGAGTTGCTGCCCGTCAGCTCATGCGTTGGCGTTAGCACAAAGGAGTCGTTCAGAATGGCACAATTCAAATTGTTATCCTCATCCTCACTGTCCGAATCCAGCATCCTCATCTCCGACGGACGCCTGGGACTGTATTGGAATAATTAGCTAAAACTCGAAAACTCCATTTATCGCAGCTAGTTTGACTTACAACATGCTGTAAGCCGGCGGAGTAGATTCGTTTTCCGTATGCCTTGCCTTGTCCTGGGTTTGTCCCACATTCTCCTTGTTGGCATTGTCGCTGCAATTAATATTAATTGAGAACAGCTCTCAATAAGAAACCCGCTTAAAATTATGGCTCACTTTGCATCTTTTTGGCTTCTAGCCGCTGGAGCCGATGCCGCGTCCTTTGCCTTTGGCGGCTTACAGGGCGAATTGGCGTATTCATCCTCCGAGTCCGTGCCAAATGTCAACAAATCTTTAATATGGCGCGGTGCAGGTGTAGTCATTTATAATCAGTATTTATTTTGTATATATTCTATTTGTAATAAATGGGCGACACTTCAATTTGAATGTGTGCAACAACAATCCACTCGAATTGGTTCATTTGTTTAGGGTTGTAATTAAGCTATCGATATATCGATGCTATTCATGCTGCAAATAATATTTCACTTATATGTTAAGATGTAAATTTAATATGTAAATTTATTTTAATTTGGCATTTGTAAATTTCGTATACAGATAATACAGATAGATAGCTCGATAGTTCGATACTTGCATATCGAATAGAAATGGATAGCAACGATCTGGCAACGCTAGTTGAGTGTCAGTCCCAAAAGCGCATCGACAACAAACGGGAAGCTACACGAATTTTTCTAAGGTGTTGCGCAGTTGGGGACCAGAACGAAAAAGAAACCAGAAGAACAATGAACAGCGAGGCAACTGGGGCAGCTATACAGACTGGTGGATCAGTCCACAACCAAGACACAGATGAATTGCTCGATCCCGTTCTGGTGTCAGACAACAATGGCCCATATAAATTGAAAACGGTGCCCGCATTTAGGTAAATAGTAACCTTTGCCGGCAGATGTTGATGAATCATAGAAATGGATTATGCATTTGCCAATATCAGCTGCGCAACTCAATTAACATGCGCACCAATGAATGTATACACATATTTATATTTCTATTTACGCATATAGCATTCACTTGCTTATCTCGACGGTTATTTCAAGTGTAGGCATTGGGCTGGCGGTTGGCTTTCCTGCGGATCGACGATGTGAGGCGTACTTTATAATGCTCTACTTGCGCGCCACATTCTGGGTGATTACATTTGTAAGTGCATATATATATATATAAAGTATTCAATGCAATGCGAAATTATACTTCATTCATGCCTATACTGACCTATCTCAATCCGTGCAGCTGCTCGATAAGTTTACCAAGAAGCAACACGATGATTTACGCTTGAATGGCTATCATGATTTTCATCGCGAGACGAAGAAGCAAACGGATGTTCCTCTGCAAGTTGTTTCACTGTGGAATTCGGCTCTGCTGGCCGTACAAGCGGCCATCCATCACTATTATGGCGATGGGTTTGGGACGCATTGCGCCGAAGGCTGGCTCTCGCCCATTACTTACGTCACGGTTTTTAATGTGGCCGAGAATTTGGTGCTCACCGCCAGCCATAGCTTCTATATAAGTACGAGTCTCTATATATGTGTGGAGTAACTATATTCATTCATATTTATCCTGCAGACAAGGTGCGTAAATTCAACAAGGCCAAGCTGTCGCCGGATGTTTTACGTGGCGACAATCGTGCCACTGGCTCCTTGGGCCTCATGCAGCCTGGCGGCGATACGGCCGAGCTGCTCGAGAAGCAAGCGGATCTGATTGCCTACTTGCGGGATCACACCCACAAGCTGAACCAGAAGCTGCACCAGATGCAGACGAGTGTGCGTCCAGTGAATGTGCCGCAAATTCCTTAAGGATATCAGGGGACATGCAATACGTATTCCTTAGCATCCTCATCCTACATTAAATATGCACATCAACACATATGTTTATCATTTGGATTTATCTATTTTATTATTGTACGCAGCGTGGAAGTATTTGTTCAATCAAATTCATCGCTGACACTATTGCATAGGGATTGACTTTGTTAAATTTATGATAGTTTTCAACTGTGGATGCCGAGGCAAAAATTGATACTAACAGAAATGACTTAAAAGGGGTTCCTTTTAAAAACTTAAACTAAGTCGATAACTTTAAAATATACACTTTATATATATGTGAATTTGCTGATAACTTCAAAATATACATTTTATATTTGGATTGTTGAACGTTTGATTTCAAGTGGACAGCAATTCTGATGGGATTTCCAATATTTCCAAGGAGTTGTCCTTTGACGACGTAACGACCTGAATGGAAATTAAAATGATATTTAATATTTCTATAAACATAAGGATGTTTCGAAGCTACCTTATCGCCAGCGATGGCCAGCGCCAGGACTAAACGACCAGGTCCACTGAAGCGACCCAGCTGCCTGCCAGTTTCCTTGTTCAGCACATAGATGAAGCCATCGTAACAGCCAACAAGCAAATACTGTTCACCATATGTGGCCATGGCGACGGCACCATTGCCGCAGCTCAGCGTGTTTGTCATGTTACCGCTCTGCAAGAAGTGCAAGAAACCAAAAATTAGTCAATAATAAAATTATAATTGTTTAGCGGAAATTACTCACGGCAAACTCGAACCTGAAAACCTCGTTCTTCTGTGTGCCACAATAGACATGGCCATCGATCAGCAGCAGACTGTACACATTGAGACCGTCGGGCACGGCGAAGCGACGCAGCAGCAACCCGGTTGCTGCATCATGCAGAAACACAAAATTCCCCTTGCAGCCCAACAAAATGATCTTGCGCACGCCCTCCTTGGTCGCCTTGACTGCGATGATGGACTGTCCAGTGGATAACAGAGGCATGTCCATCACTTTGTTCGCCTGCAAATGCAAAAGAATAAATTTGAAATATTAAAAAAAAAAAGATAAAAAATTGGGTTTATCCTGGAGATGCGGGGCATCGATCCCCGTACCTCTCACATGCTAAGCGAGCGCTCTACCATCTGAGCTACATCCCCGTTGTATCCGACTGCATTTTATTGGGCCACATAAACTTGGCCCATTGTCAGGAAATTCAAATCGAATCGAATAGGCAAATGTGCCTTGCATTTTAATTTGTGTTTACTGTCATTTCAAATGTGCAATGTCATCGGAGACACACAACAATTTGGTGGCACAACAAGCTTACAACCGGGGAGCTTTCGATACGATTATAAATAGACTTGTAGGTGAAAACTATTTATATATGCTAAACAAACTGTATCGTATTAGTTGGGGGCATCAGACTCCAGATAAGATTAGCTATATTCAAAAATTAATTGTTCACTTAAAATGATAGCTTGAATGGTTATAAAAAAATATAAATGTTGATTGCGTAAAAAAAAGTAGGCGTTTAAAAGTTACAATCTTAATTATATATATATATATATATATATATATATACATACTTCTAATATCTAACTTCTCAACTAATTTCTAATGCATTTCCTGAAAATCCCTGTTAAGCTATTTCTGCCTATCATAAAAACGTTTTTACTTGTTCGAAAGGATTGGAACTTTAAAGAGGTTGGTTCTTAGAATCAAAAAAGATATAACCATTTGTTATTAACGAAATAATTGTGGAATTATTATTAATGGGGGGGAAGCTGCACCGCGACCTATTTGATCTATTGTGTCCCCTTCTGAGCGTATAGCTCTTCCATCAGCCCCAACTCCCTTACGAACGTGAGGATCTTTGTTGGGTTGGGGTCTTCTATGTCTTTGCAATTCAAAACATGCGCACCTAGGATGCTGCGTCTTCTTCTAGTTAAGGCGACACATTCTGCTGGGATGTGCATTGAGGATTCCTCCTCTCTTTTCCTATATAATTTTTGCTCATCTTTTAGAAACTTTTTTAAAATTGAACAAACATTTTGAACGTAATTTTAATTTTAAATTCAATTAAACATGATAAATGGCATGTCTTTGTTATTCCTATCAGTAGATAGGGAAAGTACATTCACCCGATAAAAAAAAGAAAAAGTGATTGAACACTGATAAGCTAATACCAGTTCATATCTATCCAAAGATTAGATTAGACACCAATCTCAAACAAAACATTTGATAAGAGTCAAAAGTTGAAACGCATAAAGACAAAGTAAATAAATTTTGCTAATTTGTAGACAATTAATATTTAATGCTTTGTTCGATAATTTAGCAATTTAACAACAATAATGGAAATAATATCTTCGTAAAATCGCATTTATTCATATTTCATGTATCAAAACAATGATACTTATTAATCTTATTAACCTTCCTTGCTTAGCTTTTTGTCGTGTTTTTGTAGTTAAATTAATAAATATTGAAATCAATTCAGCTGCGCAGATGAGGCAAATACATTTTTCTGTTCCCTAGAGGGAACCGTCCCGTTCTTCTTCTTCCCACTTTCTCTTAATCGATGTACTACTAATTATTCCTTGCATGAACCCTTTCGAGTACTCTGTGATGATTACAAAGGACTCTATTATGGAAACAATTCAGAGTTTTCCATTTCTATAGTTAAGAACTCAATTTTAAACATCCTATCTCGTGAATAATGGTCTTAATTAATTAATACTAATTATTTTTTTGGTCTGATTGAGTTTTTCCTGGGTTTCCCAGTTCATGCAACTAATTTTGGACCATTTTGAATTTAAAAATACCCCCAGAAATCTTATAAATATTTATTATTTTTTAATTTATATACATCATTTTAAATTTGATTTTAAATTTAATTTAATTCATTATTTGGCATTAAGTAAATACATCAAGAAAATAAATTAATAATTAAATAAATACAACCATATAAATATTTTAGAATCGGAAACGTTGTTGAAATGGTTAACAAATCAAAACTTATGAAAAGCCATTAAGGCTAAGCAAAGAATAACTAGAAAATTGCATGGCTGAAACTCAAAACAAACAAGGGAAGGGGCCTTATGATTAATGGGGTCTACCCTCTGACTGCTGAGAACCCTCCCGCCTCCCGCCTCCTCCTCACACCTCCCACCTCGCTCGCATAGACCCAACTCTAATCAAACATATAGCGCATGGAATGGAACTATAAAAATCAACAGCATTAAAAAAAGAGTGAGACGGCAATGGAAATGGGCTGCAATTTACAAGATGTACATAGATACATACATACATCAATACATATGTACAGTTATGAATCGGGCAGTTGCAAGATGGCGTCGCTGCAATGCTGCAAGGAAGAAAAGGAAGAAAAGCGGAACACAAACAAATACAGGATTGTAGTTAAAATTGCAGAAGGCGCACCCAAAATACTCGATTGGCATTGCTTTGTTTATTTAGTGGTTGCAATTGCGCCCAGCCCTGCCACACCCACAACGCAGCCGATATGCAATTTGCTGCTGCTGCTGCTACAAAACAACAATAACAACAGAAAAGAGTAACAGTTGCTTACATACATACACACTCACACATACACACAAATATACATACGGCTTCGTCGGTGCCGGCAAATAACCAACCCGATTCGTCAGGCTCAGCCAATGAGAAAACGGCGTTGCCACTCACAGCGAAAATACACACACACACACATACACATATACAGCTACACAGACAGGCGGCGTCATTTTGCCAGAGACACAACACAACAAAACAGGAGCCAACCAGCAAGAAAGAGGCAACCAACAACAGCAACAACAACAGCAAAGCAGGCACGAAGACATTCCAATTGCAGTGCCTTGGAAGGCCTTTGCCTGCAATAAGCGAATGACAGAGAAAGAGAGCTTAGAAAGCTGGGGCTTATAAGGAGAGAGAAAGAGAGGGGGAGGGAGAGAGAGAGAAGAGAGAGAATGAGTGTGAGTGAGTGAGTGAGAGTCAGAGTATATAGTTTGTATTTTATTTAAAATTGTTTTGAGTAAATAGCATATAAACATTTTATTTGCTGCTGCCAAATTGCGAATGAGCGCAAGAAACAGCAAAACTAACACACACACACACATGCACACAGCTAACGGCTTGTGCAGCAATAACAGCAACAAGAAAGTGCAGCAGAAAGAGACATGCGCATTGCGGTGTGAGAGAAGAGTGGCGAACGCTTAACAGCCTCGTTTCCGAACCAAAGCAAGGAGTGAGCATAAGACTGTATGTGTATGTGTGTGTGTGAGAGAGAGTGCGAACGGTGCTGCTGCTGGCTGCACTGTGTGAGAAAGTGTGAGTCAGCAAAATATACAGTAAACTAAACATGAACACATAAATACTTAAATAAACAACAATAGTGAACGCCTGTGTGCGAGTGCGAGAGCATGAGAAAAACTAACGATGCCATTGAGAGAGAGAGAGAGACTGGGAGTAGAAGTGCAAGTGGGAGTGGGAGAGTAGGAAAGTTTTTGCTGCAAGCAGGCTGCGCTGCAGTTTGCTGTTGTTTGTTGCAACTAACCCCCAGCCTTGGCTATATACAACTACATGCGTACATATGTATTACGCTTTTTGGCCAAACAACGTGCAGCAATGGCCAGAAACACACTCGCACACACACACTTACAAAATAAAAACACACAACAAAATATCAAGCAATAGCAGCAAAGCAATTTGCAACAAGCAACGCCTTCTATATGCATATATCTCTATATCTATATACATATACATTATATTCGGTCTGTTGCAGTTTGGGGGCGTGGCTGTTGCTTAGGTAGCGCCACATAAATATTTAGTAAATAACTAAATTGTGCACGGGCCAAAGTACAGTTGCCACAATTCTCAACTACAAATGCAATGTGGCAAATGTGGCATCATCATCATTTTTGGGACATGGAGAATGGTGAATTATTCGCACGTCGCAGCCATAAATCGAATGCTGCCAAAAATTAAGACTTATCGCCATCGCCCTCAGCTCAAAATTGTAATGAAGTGCCAGCTTTTCAGTCAGTCGCACCACCGCACCACCGAACTGTGGCACAGCACATCCAATTTGCGTATATCGCTGGCGAGCTGCGAAGGAAAAAATAAATTCGATTTGATTTTCATTGTCTAGACACTGGGTTCGTTGTTCAATGGCTGCTTAATGCCAATTCCTTGTTTTCCTTGTTACTCTTCTTGCCTCTCTCTCCCTCCCTCTCTCTCTCTGCTGCGGCAAGGTGTGTGTCTATATGTGTGTGTGTGTGTGTGCGCCACTAGTGGACTGTTCACTTTTTAATTGAATATTTTCGAGTGTTTATTTGACAGACAAATATTTAATGAGCCGCACATTAATTAAATGCCAATCGAGGTGGGAAAGCGTCGAAATTATTTGGCTAGTGAAATGGCTAAGACCTGGCAAACAAGCCCCAAACTGTCGTTGAGTGGGGCAGATAACCCATGTATGTTGTACCCCTTGAGGTATGCAACACATTTTACAATCAGCTCAGTTTTTATAAGGGGACAATTTATTACTAGAGTAAATTGCAAAGTTGATATTATAATTGCATTAATACGATTGGAAAACGAATGATTAACTGTTGTCGATTAAAGATTAATTGTTAATTGTTGTCCATTAATCGATTCGCAACTGTACAATTTACTTGAGTCGACTGAAAAGGGTTCTATGAGTGAAAATATCTGTCAGATAGGTTTAAAATGAACTATAAAAATTCCAACGAGAATCTATAATAGAACTAGTTAGTATAATTATTATAGATTAATTATAGATTTTTGTTATAGTCGAGAATCTATATTTATTATAAGTATAATTAATATAGATTAATTATATATTCTGGTTACAAACGAGAATCTACAATTAAACTAGTTAGTATAAATATTATATATTAATTACAGATTCTGCTTTGTAAACACGAGTTGGAATTTGGGAAAAATTTTGAAAATGGGTTCAGTTTTAATAAGGCTTTGATACCATTCCCAAATGTAATTTTTGGCATCGAGTTTTAACATGATTGTTGAGCAAGGTTTGGGTTTCTAACTGGAAATGCATAGCTAATATAGTTGACAAATCATTTACTAAAAAGTATTGCTTTCAGCTTAGACGAAGTTAAGGAATTGGACAATTTTTGGGTATAGTTTGGAGCAAAAATCTGTTGTTGGCATTGGAAAATTGAAAACTTTCCTGAAATTATTTTCTTTGGGACAGGATATGCATTTTGAGGACAAACTGAGTTTTAAAAAATCAAGACTAATAAGCTAGAAGGCTGTAGTCTACACAGCTCGACTTGGAAATACCCTAGAAACAAGTTTTTTTTTTAGTTGGTTCATATTGAAAATACTTTTTGGTTAACGAAATCTTAAATGAAATTTTAACAGTTGATCAACAATATGTCTGGTATATAATATATCAATTGCAAGGTGTTATCTATTCAATTGTCTTTTATTGTTATCAGAAATCGATGTATATCGATTTTCGATAAACGGGGATAGTTATCGATAAAATTAAAAGTACTCACTCTGCTTTTGAATGAAAGAACTATTAACATAAATCGATTCTGCTTTGATGCTGATTAAGAATACAACAAAAATTAAAGGCACTCGTGTTTATGGTGCTAAAGTCTGTACCAAGCCTAACGGGACCTTGTTCACGCATTTTATAACACTGCTTCATCTTCTTACACTGTTATGATGCATTGGAATGAAAGTTCCGTTAGTTTTTTCCACGATTTTTGCATATTTGAGCTTTTGAGTTAGTTTTGGTGCGTAATTCGATTAAAGGCAGTCACTTTCTAGACTTCGGAAAAGGAAGTAGAGCTTTATTTTGAATTTATTTGAATGGGATAAGCTACGTTAGGTTAGGCGGTTGTCGACCTATATGAGGCCGACACACATAGGCCATTTGTGTTAATGTTATCAACAGTTTAACCAGCCGCAATCTTGGCTGGTCCTGAGTTTGCCATCATTGACAGATTGGGTAGGAAATGACTTCTTAAAGTGGCGAATCATTTCCTGGCAAGTGCAGGGCAGAAGCAAAAGTGCTCAGGAGATTCCTCCTTGTCCTCTTCCTTACATGTTCTGCAGAAGTTGTTGCAGTGGATTGAAGTCTGTTGGCATGTATTGCAACCAGCCAGTGCCCTTTTATGGCGCGGATTACTGCAGAGCAGTTCATGCGATTGAGATTAAATATTCTTTTATTTTGAGCCTACAGGTAGCCAGAGGAATGCATGTACCTTCCTTATAAGTGAGGTGGGGTAATAATGTGCCATTTCTAGCTAGTTCATCAGCCTTGCAATTGCCTTCTATTGAGCCCAGGCAACAGGCTGATAACATGCTGCTGGGCCATCTCATGTAGACATTTGCGACAGCTTGTTACCGATATCGAGTTTGCCGATTCGCACTAATGGATTTTATAGCTGCTTGGTTCTCAATATATATATTAACATTGCCTGGACTGATATTATGTATCTTTAGGCAGTTTAGTACTTCTTTTATGGCTAGTACTTCTGCCTGGAAAGGCAGAAAGAAAGCTGTATATTAAGTTGCTCAGAGCAGACTCCGCCTTAGTCTTATGGCCGTAAGCATTTTCTGTGCCTTGTCTTTCCAGACATGGAATGTCCAGAATGACATCTAATGCCTCACTCGGTGTGGTACGCAGAGCCCCTGTCATGCAGAGTTCGTCCATACGTTGAACTTTATGAAGTTGATTTTGAGTGGTTTGCTTGGCCCTGTGCAAGTATTGCATGGGATAATAAAGAATACATATTGATTCAATATTTTATAGTTAAAAAAAAGATTAGTTGCATACAAAACCTTGGAATGGGGAACCTGAGAAGATAGCTAAGATCCTGGCTTACAAGGAAACTAGATCGAGCAACAGACAAATATCAATTAAATAAAGATCTGCAATCTCATGCGCTGGGTGGGATAAAAATGCTACGGCATCTATTTCTATTTCTATTTCTATTTGATTTAAGGTTACAAATATCGAAACATCGTGTTCAACAAATTTGATCAGGTTGTAATTGATTGGTTTGGAAGAAAATTAGGTCAAAGCCAGTATTAACGAAGGCACACCACATATGTTGCAAGAGAGCACATGTCCTGGACCCAGGAGTGGCCAAATGTGGTGGTGATGAGATAAAACTTAACAAAAAAAAGTAATTCATTTTATTTTCAATTTCTATAAGGTAAAAATCAAGTAACTTTAATAAAATTTCGCAGCGTGTAAATACTTTATGGGTTCGGAGATGCTGTATTTGACCTTCTAAGAACTTTTGCACAACTTCATTTTTTCAACAGGTTTATGGATAATTCTCATAGGTATTTTGTAATTTTTTGACTATCCTTTTCAGAACTTACTGCGATATTATATGTAAAGATGTTGCCCCAGCGGCTGCCAATAAATGCAATGCCCCACTCGATGTCAATGGACTGCAGCGGCTCCTTCAGGTAAACTGTCTGAACGACACGCTCCAGATTCTGTTGGAGCAGATGATAAACAATCGAATAAAGAATATATATTTAGTTTTGAAGATTGATACGCACCTCGAGGGAGGATTTCTTGATGAAGCCGTCCAGTGAGGTGGTGTACAGAAACGATTCCCTCTCGCAGAGAAACATATTCGTGATTGCCTCGCTGTGCTTGGTGATCTGGCGCTCCAGCTTGTGATTGGCAATGTTGAACATGTAGACGTCGCCGTTCTCCGACGCGGCAATGATGTACACCTTGTAGATGCGTATCTGGGTGATGGGACTGGTGATGTTATGCAATCTGCCAATGGGTATGTAGCCATATTTAAAGCTCTCCATATTGCCAGCTGTTGCCGATGGAGGAGTAGGCGGCGGCGGAGGAGCGGTGGATTTGAGCAGAATGCGCGGCAAGTCAAACGACATGTGGGCGAAGGGTTCCGGCGGCGGTGGAGGTGGCTGCAATGGTGGTATCACCGCCAACGCTGCAACAGACCGAGTCAAACGCTGACGTTTGATGGCACAGCCCACAACAGCTGTTGTGGCACGTTTGTTGGCCTCCGTCTGTTGCACGGGCAACTCCTCCTCAGCCTTGATTTGCAGCGGCTGTGGAATGACTGATTCCTCTGGCGCTTCATTGCTCACTGGAGCAACTTGCTCTGCCTCGGCTAGAGGATTCCGCTTGATGCGATTGGCTGGACGCTTGCGCTTGGAGAGGATCTTCACGCGCTTGACGACTATGGCGCGACGTTGACGCAATCTGGGCTTGTTGGCGACTTCCGGCGCAGCTGCAGCTGCAGCTGGAGGCGGTGGTGAATTTGTGGGCGTCACTGTGGATGGCGGCGTTGCTGTCGTTGGTGTAGTTATCGTTGCTGCTGATTGATTCCTCGCAATCACCGTATTGAGCAGCAGAAACTTGCGACTCTGCAACTCCAGGCTGAGCATCTCCAAGTCGGATTTCTCGCGCTGAAACTTCATGATCATCTCCTCGAGGAAGCCGCGTCGATTCTGATTCTCCAACAGGCGTCGATCTAGCTCGAGCAGACTGTGTGTCACCGAATCACCCACAAGCACAATTGGCTCACCACTCTCCAAGCCGCACGTGGTCAGCGAGAAGCTGCCCGGCGACAGACGCGGCACAGACGCATCCAGACCCAAATAGTTCAGCGAGTGCAGGGAGCGATTCGAGCTGGATAGCGTGGCAGCGGCGGCGGGTGTCGGTGTACCATTGCGGGGTGGGGTGGGTGGCATTAAGGATTGCGCTGCTGCTGCCACTGCTGCAGTGCCGGCAACTGCGACTGCTGACTCAGCTGGAGTGCAGTTCCTTTGATGTGGCTGTGACTCTGATTGGAGCTGCTCGGCGTTAAGCATCAACGACGAACTGGCACTGATGATAAGCCCATTAGACTCCTTCTCCAATTTGTGCTGCTGCTTCGCGTCCTTCTGCTCCAGCTGCTGCTTGCGACGCGCTGCTGCCGCCTGCTTCTGCAGATTGACAACATTGACAATTTCACGGAGCAGAAATTCGATGCCGACCCGATTGTCGTTTGCCTTGAGATTCTGTTGCATTTTGGCTACCTCGATTTTGCTGAACGTTTGCGAATTGTGCTCACTGCTGGTCACCACACAGGAGATGAAGTGAAGCCGGCTCTGCAGACTGCTGCAGTGGCTGCTCCGATACCGTTCCGCCAGCGACTCCTTCAGCTGTGGGAGTATCAGCTTCTCAAAGCTGTCGACAATGTTGTTCGCATCGCTGTCCAGTTTCTGTTGATAGCGTCGCTTGGTGGACTCTGTGCTGCTGCTGCAGCTGCTCGATGCAGTCGAGTGATCGCTGTCAGCATTATCAGCTGGCTTATCCACTTGTGGACATTCATCCTCCTCCTCCTCCTCATCCCCCTCATCTTCGGAGGAGCTGCTGACCACAATGACGCTGTTGTCTCGAAAACTACGCGATTCCATTTGCATTTCTCTTTTGATGGGCACGCAATTTGTCTCGTCATCGTCTGTTTCTCTTTGAGCAGTTTCCTTTTGCTTGGCAATCTCTTTGATTTTGCTCTCAATTCTCTTCACTTTCGAGCTTTGCAGCGAGCTTTTTTCACTTAGCTGCGCATTGCTGGGTTTTTTGCCTGCCATTGTTTTGGTCTTCTTCTGCTTTGGAGTTTTGCACTTATCTTTACTGCACTTTTCGCTCTCTTTAATAGGCTGACCGCTTTCGCTTTCTTTCACAAACTTTGAGCTTTCACTCTCTTTAATAGGTTGCTCGCTTTCGCTCTCTTTAACGGGCTGCTCGCCTTCACTCACTTTAACAAACTGCTTGCTTTCGCTCTCTTTGTCCGTTGCTGTGCTTTTACTCGCTCTGCTCGTTGCTGTGCTTTCGTTGGCGTCGATCGCTGCTGTGCTTTCGCTGCTCTTTTTGCTGTCGCTGTCTTGCGTCCCTCTCGCTGATATGTCAATTCCAAAGCACTTTTCAATCTCCTGCAGCAGCAGCTCTGGTAACTTGATGGCCTCAACGATTTCGTCCTCGATTAGTTGCTTGGCTGGCTTATCCTTGGGCTGGTCGAGCTCAATTGCCTTCAGCTGGCGTCGCACCTCGTCGCGAAGTCGTCGGCGGGCCTGCAACTTTAGATGCTCGTTGTAGATGGTGTCGCCATTGTTGATGATATACTTGAGACTCTCCTTGTCCATGTTGGCCAGTCGATCGTTGATGTTGATGAAGTCGCTGCTGCCATTGTTGGCGCCAAGCAGGGAGTTGCTGGTTGTCCGACGACGTGTTTGAATCGTTGTTGCTCGTTGAATCCGCTTGGCTGTGATCCCGTTCTGTCGTTGCTCCTGGGTAACAGCGAGTATTTCCTGCTTGAGCAGCTCGGCCAACGGCCTCACCTGTATCTTGGGATATGTTTTGCTAGCTGTCGGTCTCTCCTCCTGCTCCTTGCTCAATGTGGCGTCGGTCTCCGGTTCTGTTTGGGTCCCTATGGCACTATTTTCTTTAATCTTCTTCTTCACGGGACTGGGTATATTATTTCTAAATAATTTCGATTTGGGATACTTGCTAGTTGTTGTTCTAGTTTTCTTCGGACTTTCTACTATTTTTGCACTTTCTTCTTTACATTGTCCGTTAACGTTGTTAACTAATAAATCTGTTTTGTTTTCTTCAGTTTGTTCTTTCCATTTCGTTTTGTCCTTTTCGCTTTCAGCCGAATTTGATCTGGAACAAATTGCACTTTTTTCGCCTTCTAATCGATTTGAAATCGTATTATTTTTACCGCAATCTTCTTGGTCTGCTTTGTTCTTGTGTCTTAAGCTTTTTTGTTTTTGTTCCTGTTCTTCTTCTTGTTCTCTTAGCGTTTCAGTGGTTTGACTCCGAGTTTCTCGATGTCTCGCCCTATAATCTTGGCTTATCCACTTTCGACTGGCGTTTGAGTATCGATCTGAACTTGTTCTATGTTCTCGCGATTTATGAAAATCGTTTCTATAATAATCAGTTCTTTCGCGACGTTTATGTTCCTCTTGATTCTCGCCCCGTTTCGAATTTGTCGTTTCTTTCCAGTTGTTGTCTTTATTATGATACAATTCGCGTGGGTTATTTGGAGAATAATACGGTCTCGAACCGTTGTTATTCCACTGCACAGCAAGGGAGCATCCAAACTATTATAGTTTTAATATTCAAGTGCAAAAATAAATATACTTACATTATTATTATATAAGTGGTTCCTGCAAGAAAATATGAGAAAATATTGTGAGTTTAGATGGAATAGAAAAATGAGAATTATTATTTACAAGTCCAGTCAATTGCAATTAGGTAAAACTCAGGCTCATTACAAAAACCTAACTACAGACAAACCAGGTATAATAATAATCAACAAAAAAAGTTAAGTTCCACAAACAATAAAGGAATAATTAATGTAATCAAGCAACGTGCTTCGCCTCTGCCAAAGTTCTCAACTCAACTTTTGTGGCACGTGAGAATGAAGGAGCGCAGCGCCCATTAATTTAACAGATTTAAAATTTATAACCACAAAAGTCCCCCTACATCCCTTCCTCCCCCACTGAATCCCTATTTGTGTATGCAAAGGTGCGAATTCCTTTGGCATTGAGCATTTTTCTACTTTTCGGCATGTCCGCTTGTTTTTTTTCTTTTTTTCGTTGTTTTGGCTCGAAAATCTCGTTAAGAAATGCTAAAATATACGAGACCACAAATCTTGTGTTGCTGTTATTCTGTTGCCTTTTGTTAATGTCATTTGTAACTTGAACTAATTAAAAATTTAAAATGTCGCCCGTCAATGCGAATTTGCATGCCATTGAAAAACCAGATTAACATTTTTGTATTTGTTGCATGTGCAACGGGAATCGAGAGGATGAAAAGCTTAAAAGGAATCTTTTCTGAATCTGAAATCCATTTAAAAGCCTGGTTTTTGAAGTAGTCTAGATTATTTACTTTGTAAACTGATTTGACTTCAGACAATTACAGCACAGAAATCAAAAACTTCCAATCAAAAACATACTTTTTAAAGTATTATAAAAGTAGCACAGAAACTTACAACTTCTTTGTATAAAACATGCATAAAGGCAACAATTGTCCTTAAAAGGGTTAAGGAGTAATCACAGCTCCTGAAAAATCTAACCCAAAACATTACTCAGTGAAAACGGCTAACAAATTTGACTAATTTTATAAAAGAAATAAAACAGTATTGTTAAAAATTAATATAAAATCAATAAATGCTCGAAAAGTTGTATTGAAATTCTTACGAATTGATTTGTAGTTTTATATTGTTGGCAATTAATGTTTCTTTCATTAAGTATATATTTGAATCTAACATAATACTAAGCAGCATAAATAGTAAATCAAGTGGTGTGAAAAAATAAATAAATAAAACTAGTGGTGAACGTCTTAATGCAGAAAAGAATCAAGTGGTTTGATTATAAGGTTACTTTCAACAAAAAATTCTGTGCAAAAAAATAAAGTAAAATAAAATAAAATAAAAAACGCAAGCGTAGTGCGAATATTTGGAACCCAAATGAAAATTAATATGCATAACGCATAGCGGAAAGAAAAAACTTAAGAAAATTTATGCAGTGATGAGTGAAAAAGGATGCCACGAGGAAAAGCTAAAGAAAAAAGTCACAACACGCTCGCCGGAAACGGGCAAAGTCAAATGTCACGGGGCGTGTGTGTGTGTGTGTATGACAAGTGCTCTAATGAGCAGGAGGAGTCATTTAAGGAGGCACCTACACAAGTATTTGTCAAATCAAGCCAAAGACTACCCCCTCCCCGTCCTAAAACTAATGAACCTTGAGCGGGGGGCGTGCCAAAACGGAGGCAAGTCAATTAAAAAAAAGAACAGAAAGTCACAACAGCAAAAAGTACGTGATGCTCTCGAGTAGGCAGGGGGCATGTGGCATGTGGCATGGTGCAAATATTTTCTAGACAGCAACTAAAAGTCGCAGACTGTCTTGAAATTAAAATTACAAAACGCTTGGATGAATTTGGATGTAGCTGCTGCAAGGCAGGTAGCCAAATACAGAGGCGGGCAAGGGTGGGGTTGGGGGCATGCTGACAAAAGTTTTTGAGGTAACATTTCTTTTACGATTCGCATGGGTGCCACCAGCAAGTAAGCAAAAGTAAGCAAAGTCGGAAAAGTGGCAATCGTGCGACTTTGTCATTAATTTTGTATATCATTGAGTTTTACGATGCTCATAAATATGAAAACGTTTAACTCTTGCCAAGGCGAATACCCTTCCCCCCCTCCCCCCCTTCTCGCTTCCCCCTCATTTGCCACACACCTTCTTGTTGTATATGAGACAAACTAATTGTTGCTGCTTACGCGTGCTGTGCTCGTAATGTCTTTTTAAGCGGAGGCACGCACCCCACATGTTTTCACAATGTTTCGCTGATAAACAACAACAACAACAATTAATGGCTTGCTGCTGCTACATGCCACATGCCCCCCATCCCCCCTCCGACCGCCTGCAGTCCTTCAGTTTGTATGTGCAACAGCTTGAGGTAATTTTCAAGTTTTCTCAGCGACTCGTTGACAGGCGTTTTTGTTGTTTTGTTTGGTTTTAATTAAAGCCCAAAAAACACACAAATACACAACACACACACACACACACACACTCAAAATATGTGTGCACAACACACTCGTATAGACAAATTTTAGGGCGACTTCTCATAATAAACAAGCATTGCTGAAAATTAACATTTAATTGTGGTTTTTGTTTAGCAGTTGGCAAGTTGAAAGTCTTAATAATTTAAAGAAAATCTTCCATTTTTAAATAGTATTTAAAAGTATTTTTTAACATTTTTTTAAGGCCAACACAATGTTGAGTTAAGTAAATAATATAAAGTGGAAATTTAAAGATGTAATAATTTAGAAGAATTTTCGAAAACAGACAAATGCATTTTCAATATAACATATTTCATTGAAAACTTTGTCGCTTTGCGTTTAGTTATATATATTTGTTTAATTTTGTAATAATAATAAAAATAAAATTACACATTTCTCAGAAAAAAAAAATAATGTAAAACTAAAGAAAAAACCGGAAATGGAAGTGTTAACCGAAATTCGACTCGATTTCCTTTGCTCTTCAAAATGTTAATACAGATATTCGATGTTAGAATACTCGACTAGCAGATACCCTGCACCAAACTTCGAAATAAATAGTATGCTTGCATATAATAGTTCTTTCAATATGAAAATATATTGGAAGGTAATATCTTCATAATTGTGTCTTTTAATGGTATCGGAAATCGATATGTATTGAACCTCGTGAAACGTTGGTTGTTATCGATAAAATTAAATAAACTTGAACTGCCCTGTGTATACGAGACTTTATATTCCAAATTTAAAGTCCCTAGCTCTTATGGTCTCTGAGATCAAGTTTTTCAAACAGACTGACAGATAGACGTGGCTAAATCGTCTCGGCTTTTATTGCTGATCAAGTATATATGTGTCCTGTATATATATGTATCTCCTGCATTGGATTTATAACGTAATGTTCGACTTTTTAAAACATCGACTTATTTCAGCGACGACTCTCGTTCTGCTGTTCTTCTGCGACTTCTTCCATTAATGATTTTATATAATGCATATATATACTCTATGGGATCGCAGATGCTTTCTTCAGCATGTAACATAAGTTTACTCAAATTCATTATAACGTTTTGTTAACTCTCGTCAGATTTGCCGTATGTTTCATTACTTAATAACCCCCAACTGAATCGAGAAACCATTCAACAATTTCGATTGCCACGCCCAGCTCAACTGCGGCAGACACAGTTGATCAACTTCCATCAAACTGGCACGCTTTAAGCCACAAACCAGTTCAGGCCAAGCTTACAGGCCAAACTGGGTCAGTTCATGGCATGCATTTCAATTGAATTTATCGGAAGTGTAATTGGTTTTTGGCTAAGAGACAATTTTATTGAAGTGGGCACAAAAATACCGTTATATGGGTGAGAAGCACACGGGGATGTAGCTCAGATGGTAGAGCGCTCGCTTAGCATGTGAGAGGTACGGGGATCAATGCCCCGCATCTCCAAAAGGATAAAACCAACTTTTTTATTCACGAGTTTTTTCCTAATATTTTTGGTTGCAAAAGTAGTGGAAAAATAGTAATGAATGAAACGCAAACAAAACACAAACATAACAAAACACTTAAAACAATTAAAAAATAGGAAAACACATAAATTTTGGTAACAGGACAGCGGCAGCTTAACAAGCTTAACAGCCAGCCAGCCAGTCAGTCAGTCAGTCAGTCGTGGAGCACAAACTTTGTCCTGTGCGCTGCAAATATTAAAACAAAAGGCTTCTCATAAATAGCACATCATGTATCATTTACAATACCCAGACCCATTCAACACACTCCCCAGAGTTCGCTCCTGCTGTGTGTGTGTGTGTGTGTGTGTTTTGCCTGCGGCTGTGGCAGCAACTCAGTCAGTTACCTCAACCCGCTGATCGTCCTGGGAGACGTGGCATGTTGTTTGGCTGGCTGTTTGGCCGCCTGTTTAATTGCTGGCAAAGTTCTGCGAATGCTGGCAAGTAAACAAACATTGGCATATTGTGCTGATTTATGTGCGACAATGTGTCCCGTGTTTTTCCCGTGTGTTCAAATCAAATTACGCGACTTGATTGCCGCCGACATGCGGGGTGCAACAATGAAGGGGCATCTAAGCCCAAAGTCGTTTGGCCGCCTTTGAATATTCATTAATGCGTCTTCTTCTCGCTAAATCAAAAAATGCAGACGTCTGCGTATTTATCGACGCTTGCAAACCAAATAAAAAAAAAGGAAAGGAAAAGAGAGTCCTTTTCCGTATTTTATTGGAGATGCGGGGCATTGATCCCCGTACCTCTCACATGCTAAGCGAGCGCTCTACCATCTGAGCTACATCCCCACACATGCCTCCCACATTCGAGTGTTGACAAAGTGCAGTGCCAGCGAATAAGACCAAAAGTGAAGCGAAAGCTTTTGGCCAGGCCAACAATACTTGGCCAACTTCAATTTCACTGATTCGATTCGTGAACTAATTAGTATTGAATAAGAAACTGTTTCAATCTTATTTTGAGCATGCTTGATTATCACATTTTGTATGTTTGATTGTTAAACCACATTATTTCAATTCAAGTTAAACAAAACGTAAATAAATAAATTGGTAAATTATAATTTTATATGTTTTCATTTGATTGAAGCATTTCAACAATCCCTTGATAAAA